AGGAAGAACCAGGATTCTGTAAAATAAAGGTGAGAGGGTAACAAATGCTTAGTGGCTAACACACACACACACACACACACACACACACACACACACACTGATGTACAAACTGGGGATATAGTTCAGCAGTAGAGGATGTGTGCTTAGTAAGCACAAGGCCCTGGTTCCATAAGAGACTTGAGAATCAGGCTGTGTGACACACTCCTGCCATGCCGGTGTGTGGGAGGCTGAGACAGGAGGATTACTGTGAGTTTGAGGGCAGCCTGGGCTATACAGTGAGACCCTGTGTTGAGAGAGAGACAGAAACAGACAGAGAGACAGAGACAGAGAAAGACAGAGACAGAGACAGAGACTGAGGATCTGAGGACTTTGCTATCTGCTGGGTGCCCTGGAATGATTACAGATGAGCCACTGTGCAAGTAGTCTTTTCCTTCTCCAGCTCTGTTCACTGAGAAGCCCCAGCCTCAGTGACCCACCCACTAGCATGCAGACATTCCCACAGCTTAAGGCAGGGGAGGCTTAGTATAGCTCACAGGGTGCAGAAGCTTCAGTCTGCAGTCTGGCTCCAAGGCAGGGTGGCCTGGCAGGGAGAGTTGCTCATGGCATGGTGGCAGGAAAGCAGAGAGAGTTAAGGGAAGTGGAGGAAGAGAGACAGGCCCTTCCAGAGCACGCCCACCATGACCACCTCTTCCCACCTGCCCCCACCCCTAACTGCAAAGTCAGCTGTACTGCAAGCCCCTACAATTCAGTCTCCATATGATTGCATCCAGACATTAAGCATTCCACTCTGTCCCTGACCCCCACAGGACTCTCAAACATCTCTCTATACAAAGTGCGTTGAATCCATCTCAGAGAGTTGCCAAAATCCTAAAAGTTTCAACATTGCTAAAAATTCCAAGTCCAAACTCTCCTGGGAGACTTAAGACCAATTCTTAGCTGTGAGCCCCTCTAAAAATCAAAAGAAAGTTAAACACTTCTGGTACAGTGGCACAGGGTAAATGTTCCCATTCCAAAAGGGAGAAATAGGAGGACAGAAAGAAATCGGGCCACAGGAACAGCAAAATCCACAGGGCAAATATATATACACATATATATTGTCTTTTTCCTTTTTATCAGTGCCAGGGATCAAACTCAGGACTGCCTGCTTGCAAGGCAGGGGGTTATGCTGCTGAGCTAAATCCCCAGCCCCTCACAGGGCAAATATTAAATCTTATGTTCCATATCCAGCACTTGGGGCAGGATGGGATGAGATTTGAACTCCAAATGGCTTCAGCAGCCCCCCTCTACAGCACTTCCCACCATAGTCTGTGTAGCTTCTCTCGGGCTGACTTTGCTCACTGTGTGAAGCTTTCCTCAGCAGATCATCCCCACTTGTGGCTTCTCAAACTTCCGGGGATCCCCATTACACTTTCAGTTTCCCATGGCTTTACATGCTGCCCTCGGGGGCACACTTCCTGGCCTCCTAGGTCTTCTGAAATCTGAATAGAAGACCTCGTGCATGCCAGTAAAACCAGCACCAAGTGGATGATGCCAAGATCTGCTGACAGCTCTAGCAGTAGCCAGGCCCCCTTGGTCATGGCTGTGCCAGACACTCAGTGCCCAGAGACCTGAGCACTGTAACCTGAGCCCTGGGAAGCCAGTGCCCTAGCTGGACCTTTGCAAGCAAAGTGCCCTGTGGCTCTTGTCTCAAAGCAAAGTCTTTCACTCTTGCAAGCTAAAGGAGGGGTCCTGCTCTCTCCTGTGGCCCCCTTAAGGCATCCTTCTATGTCTAGATTCAAAAAATCTAGAGATTTTTAGGGCTAATCTCTAATTTTTCCAGCAACTAAACTCTCCTCTGATCCATCATCCTTTTTTGTTTTTGTTTTGTCTTGTCCTGTTTTCGAGGTTGGGTCTTACTGTTTAGCCCAAATTGGCCTCAAACCCATGGGAATCCTCCTGCCTCAGCCTCTAGAGTGCTGGAATTATAGGGGTGTGCAACCACATCTGACTTATCTCTGTTTCAATTTGGAAAGTACTTTCTATCTGGAAACATTGAAAATCTTTTAAAATCACTGAGCTGGGTCATTTACTCTTGATTCTCAGTGCAGAGTTGGCTAAAACTCGCCGATAATACCAATGTCATAGCCTGAATGTTGGGCTGCCTTGACATTTCCTCTGACAGATGAATTAATCTGTTACCCTTAATCACAGTCTCTGGCAATATCTCAGGACAGGAACAAAATGTAGACAAATTTCCTGCCACTGCATAACACACATGGCCTGAAGTCCAAATGACAGTAGAGTCCTTGTTCCTAATTGGAATCTCCTGAGACTGGTTTTAACCACCTGCCTTTTGACCAGCATCCTGCTCTTCTGAGCTCCAGTTAGAATCCCCTTTAAGTTCAGTTCACACTACATTCAAGGGCTTAGCTGGAGTTACAACAACGACCCCGCTTCTGGTACCAATATCTGTCTGAGTTACTTTCTCATCACTGAGATACAATACCTGACACCCACAGTTTAAAGTAGGAAAGGTTTATCTCGGCTCATGGTTTGTAGGGGTTTTAGTCCATAGTCAGCTGACCCCAAGGCAGGTCAGCATGGCAGACCAGAAAGAGCGCATGACACGGCAGCAAGAAGCAGGGCATGATCAAGGCAGGAGGACATATATGAGTGACCCACCAGGCTTCACCTGCCAACATCACACCCAGCCTTAGATGCATCAGTGGACTAGTTCAGTATCACACCCTTAACCCAGTGTCACATACCTGCGATCCAGCCACTTCTCAAAAGCCCAGCCTATGTGCATATGAGGCTTTGGGTGAACATCTAACTATAAGCCATAACATGATCTCAAGAAAAAATTAAAAAGGACTGAAGATATAGCTCAGGGCAGAAGCTCTGGATTCAATTCCCAGCATGACTAAATCCCCCTCAAAAAAAAAAAAAGCTACCAGACTGGGTGAGGCTCAGTGGCAGAGGCTTATATAAGGTCTGGGGTTCCATACCATAATTTTAAAAAAGAAAAAGAAGGGGCTGGGGATTTAGCTCAGCGGCATAAGAGCCTGCCTTGCAAGCAGACAGTCATGAGTTCGATTCCTCGTACCGATAAAAAAAAAAGGAAAAAAAAAAGGCCAGGTATGGTGGCATATACCTTTTAATACCAGAATGTGGGAGGATGGGGCAGGAGAAACCCCTGAAGTGAATTCAAACTCAGCCTGATCTACATAGCTGACCCTGTCTCCAAAATTAAAAAAAAAAAAAAAAGAAAGAAAGAAAGAAATTAAAAGAAAAAATGCTTCCAGGTATTGCTAAATATCTCTTAGGGTCAAAATCATCCCTGGTTGAAAACTTCTTCTTAAGAGTAACTCCTTAGCCAGAGATTTAGCTCAGTGGCACAAGCACCTGCTTACCAAGTGTGGAGTCATGAGTTCATCCCTGCTATAAAAAAAAAAAAAAAAGAAAAGAAAAAAGAGTAACTCCTTAAGGCCTTTTTCCTTCTTATTGGTACTGGGGATCAAACTCACGACTGCCTGCTTGCAAGGCAGGCACTTATGCCGATGAGCTAAATCCCCAGCCCCTGTACACTTATTTTAACTGAGGGAGTGTGCACCTGGTGTGTATGTACATAACTATTTTACTTTGCAATCTGTGTGTGTGTGTGTGCATGTGCACATGCTGGGAAGTAGACCCACAGTCTCACATGTACCAAGCATGTGTTCTACATATTTTGCAGTAAAAATACAGAAACTCGACAGAATTCTCCAGTTTAATCACCCAATGAATTTAGCCCATGTCTTTTGTGAAAAGATCAGAGCTGAGCCTGCTTGTACACTTTGGGTGATCCTAGCCATTGGGTGAGCTGAGCCTGGAGGGGCAGGAGTTCAAGGCCTGCCTGGACTACGGAGCAAGACCCCCATCTCAAATTACAGCAACAACAAAACCCAAAATCTGAAACCAAGCAAACAAAAAGCTTAGTCAACGTGACAGACACTGTGCCCCTCACTATGGCACCTGCATAGTGCCTGACATACAGTAAGTGGTAAATTAATGGAAAAACAAATTCTTGAGGTTTTTTTTTTTGTTGTTGTTGTTGTCTTTTTGGAATAGGGTCTCCCTATGCAGTTCAGGCTGCCTTTGGACTCACTTTGTAGCCCAGGCTGGTCTTGAACTTGCAATGATCCTCCTGTCTCAGCCTCCCGAGTGCTAGGATTATAGGCATGTGCCACCAGGCTTGGCTAAGTTTTTAAAAAATTATTGATGACTCATTGATTGTTTTTTGAGACCAAATCTCTCTATGTGATTTAGGTTGGCCTTAAACTCATGGCAATCCTCCTGCCTCAGCCTTCAAATGGGATAACGGTCATGTGCCACCACGCTGGGGTTCAATGTAACTTTAAACCATCACTTAAACATTTATTGAGCACCTGCTGTACACTGGAGGCACCAGCTAAAGCAGAGCCCCAAACTCACCAGCTCCCCATTGCTGGGACACCCATTTGTCAGTGAGGGACAGAGAGAGGGCAAGCAGGTGGATGGACCTGAGTTTTGCTTTTCAGAGTGGAAGCAATCTTAGGTTTTAATAAAGCAGAGAGACAGGAAAGGAGAGGATTCCCTGGGCCTAGGGAATTAAGAACACGCATGTTGATCCCCCAGAATAGGGAGAAGCTGCCAGGCAGGGAAGACTCGCTTCTGGATAGTAGGACCACAAAGGCCTTGCGGTGCGAAGGACGTGGGTCCTGGTCTCTCAGCCATACACAAATCCCACCCAGAGATTCTGCCTGGACTCCTCTTGAGGCTCCCTCGTTCCCTGGGGATCAGACCGGAGCTCCGGGCACTGGGCCCAGCAGGATTTAGCTGACCCAGGGACACCAATGCCTTCCAGCCAGGCTCCGCGGCTGTCACTACAGGCCCCGCCCCTCCCGCCCCTCAAAGAAGCCCCGCCCATATCACCCTACCATTGGACAGATCAGAGAATGTCGAGCGCTGGTTGGCTGACACAAGAGTCCATCAGGATCCAAGCCTTTATAACCCCGCGTCAGCGCGCTTCGAGGGGGCGGGCGAGGCCGGGGCTGTGGCTTCAGGTAAAGCGCCCGCTTTCGGGGAATACATAAGGGGGTGCTGGGGGGACTCAGGGGACGCGAGGACGGGTGGGCTCGGTGCAGCCAACTCTTCCGCGGGCTGGGCGCGCCCCCATAAGGTGGGTGCCTTGTTCTGCGAGGCCCAGGTGGGTGGCGAGCCAGGAGGGGAGGGGGCTCCGGATTTCGAAGATCGCCCCTCTTTCCACCCTGCAGGCGCCGACAGGGGATTATCCACCTCCTAGCGCTCCAACGGGCTATAGGGACCCATGCCCAGGGCGGCTCGCGACGCCTTGGGCAGTCGGGTCCTTGCTTCCCGCGCTGGGCTGGGTGAGGGATGGGGAGGTGGAGATGAGGAAACGGAGTTGGGGGGGTGATGGCCGCCAGGACCCGGGGACAATGGGGAGCGGATGGGACCGCCCAGCGGCGCTTCCTGGAGGAAACTGCCCTGTCTCTGCACAGCTGACCCGCTGTGTGTGCGGGGGTGGGTGCTGACCTGAGCACCCCTCTTTCCAGCCGCTCTCCTCCTTCTCCACCCGCCCCCCCAGGGCTCTGCGAGTCCCCTACAACGTGAAGGGTACCACCGCCCAGGACCTCAGACCGGGAAGGGGTCCCCTGTATTCCAGGACTACATCCTTTACCCGCCTGGTTTCATAATCATGGCTCCACTGACCGAAATAGTCCCAGGGGCGGGAATGGGGGCGTGTGATGTCGCGTCTGACGACCTAATGAGGGGGTCCCAGGCAGAGCATTCGAGCTGGTGGTGACAGCGGGTGAAGGGTACGCAGGGGAGAGGAGGACAGCTACACACCCCCAACCAGGCACTTGGGCAGGGCTTGACAGGGGCACTGCACTAAGCGGGACCCACAGGCTCAAGTTCTCCCTTCTGGGGAGCAGAAGGGGCTCCTTAAAGTAGGCACTTGAATGTGTGACTGGGACAGAGATCCTACTGAGCTGCACAGGTTCACATTCTCTCTCAGCCATCTGGGGTCTCTGGCAGGTGGATTCAGCCTCCTTAGGTCTCAGTTTCTCCATCTGTGCAATGGGGGAAGAGTGATCATAAGAGGGCCAAGCTTCGAGGATTTAGAGAAGATCAAAAACAGTTAATATCTGGTCAAGCATGGTGGAGAAAGACTGTGAACCCAGCACACAGGAGGCTGAAGCAGGAGGATCGTGCAAGGTCGCAGCCAGACTGAGTTACGTAGTGAGTTCAAGGCCAGCCTGAACTGCATAGTGAAACCCTGCTTCAGTAACAAACAAAGAAACAGTTAATATCCATGGGTTACATAGCTTTGAAGCTGGCTTATAATAAGCAATCAAAATGATACAGCACTTTACCATCTTGGGCCCATCCACCCATTTCTCAGCCCAGCCCCTAGGTCCAGCCACTCCAGCTGGGTTAGGTCTTAGGCGTGACTGCAGCTGTCCCCTCCATCCCAGAGCCTCAACTCCGGGTGTGACCAGGTCACTAGAGAAGGGAGCTGCCCCCGCTCCATCAGGCACCAGCTGCACAGGAGGCAGGTTCCGGTTCCCTAAGCCCTGGTCAGGCTTTTTCCAAAACCTAACACTTCCTCCAAGGTTTCCTGAAAACAAGCCGTGAGCGGCACTGACTGTCCTGCGTGGTGACCTGCGGCCTGGCTGGCCTGTCACTGGCAGCTGGCGCAAGGGAACAGGAAACAGCTGCTTGGGGCTGGAAGGAGCCCTGCCTGGCCTTGGAGTGGGGAAGGAAGTGCTGGGGACTGAGGGCCAGCAGGGGCGGGGAGAGGAGCAAGCGGGGTCTCCAGGTGGGCTGAGGGTGGGCATCCAGGCTGGTGGTCACCAGGAATCCAAGAGACCAGTAGGCATGCTGGGGGCAGGTGGGTAGCAGGCCAAGGAGAGGATGGATTGGCTCTGGCTGGTGCCAAGGGGAGGCAGGACAGGCAAGAGGACAGAGAGAAATCATGGCCAGCAGATCCCCAGGAAGCAGGGCAGAGCCCATGTGAGGGGTTTTTCCAAGGGCGATCATCTTAATTGCCCGTGCCTCGGTTTCCCTACCTGTAAAAGGTGAATGATAATATCTACCTTGGAGAGGACCAGGGATGTAGCTCATTGGCACAGAGCCTGGCTGGCCAGCTTAAGGTCCTGTGTTTGATTCCCAGTACCAAAATAAAAAAAAAAAAAAAAAGAAAAAATTCACCTTGGTGAGCTGTATGGGGATTATATTTTCAAGCAGTGCACACACTGATACAAGCTACCGTCCACTTTCTGGAGATTTTCCACGTGGGTTCTCTCAAGCTCTGTCTTTATCATCCAGTGGGTTTTGTTTTGTTTGTTTGAGATAGGGTCTTGCTCTGTACTTTAGGCTGGACTCAAGGCAATCCTCCTGCCTCAGCTTCCCCAGTGTGATTACAGGCCTGTGCCAACTTGCTCAGCATTTTGTTGTTTCACATGACCGTGCTAGGGATGGAAGGCAGGGTCACAGGCACCCTAGGCAAGGGCTATACCACAATCTGGCCCCAATCCTGCCTCTAGACTCAATGGATTCGGTACCTTTGTCCTCCAGGGCTTTGAAACTTAATGCCTGCTGACAAAAGAACTTTGCCCCCAGGATTCAGTGTACAAAGTAAAACTTATGTCAGTTGCCCCGGGCCTCAGGATCCCTTCCAGAATAATTGGTTGGGTACTTGTCCAACTAACAAGCCAAGCCAATTAACAATTCAAAGAAGCACTGCTGGGTTGTCTTCGGTGAATATCACAGTTAGCTAGGAAGGCCACTGAGGGTGCGTAGCATGCCTGAGGCCCTCATTTTTACCCCTAGAACTGGGAAAAGCTTACATTACTAGATGTGGCCCAATCCCCTAACTTTAAGACTTCCGTCTGTACCCTGAAGGGTTACCTCTCTGCTCTCTAGAGAGCCAAGCTTTTGGTCACCCAGATGTACATGGCTCCATTAGGTGCCATACACAAAGTCTTGGGACGCCCCACTAGGGGCATTCCACAGAAGCAGGTATTTGTTGGTTGTGTCTTTGCTGTAGCCAGCACACAAGTCTCCATCATTAGGAAGGTCTCACTCTGTGACCTTGGTTAAAATTTCAGATGTGCAGCTGGGCATGGATCACACACCTGTAATTCTAGCACTTGGGAGGATTGCCAGCCTAGGCTCTACAAGACTCTGTTTAAGACAGAAAGAAAAGAAACAAAGAAAGAAGGGAAAGAAATTTAGATTCACAATTGTATATTACATTGTCTGGATTTCTTTATGGAAAAAGAATCCAAGAAATCCTTTTTGTGTGTGTGTGTGTGTGTCTGTGTTTTTGAGGCAGGGTCTCACTATGCAGTTCAGGCTGCCCTTGGACTCACTTTGTAGACCAGGCTGGTCTCGAACTTGCAATGATCCTCCTGCCTCAGTCTCCTGAGTGCTAGGATTACTGGAGTATGCTACCACGCCGGCAAGAAATCCTATTTTTTTTTTTTTTTTTCATTTTTATCGGTACCAGGGATCGAACTCACGACTGCCTGCTTGCAAGGCAGGCACTTATGCCGCTGAGCTAAATCAAGAAATCCTATTTTAAAAATAGCACAATCTTGCCAGGTGTGATGGAAAACACTTGTCCCAACCCTTAGGAGGCTGAGGCAAGGAGATCTCCATGAATTTGAGGCCAGCCTGGGCTACATGGTGAATTCAAAACCAGGCTGGACTACACAGTGAGATCCTGTGTAAAACAAAACAAAACATAACAAAACAAAACACCACAGTCTTGCCAGTTGTTGTTAATACTAAGCTATCCCTTTTTATATTTTATTTTGAGACAGGATATCATTAAATTGCCGTATTGGCTTAATTTATAGTCTAGTAGCTGAGATTACAGACATGAAGCACTGTGCCTGGCTCAGATGAGGGTGTGTTTTTTTAAGATAGGGTTTCACTTTGTAGCCCAGGCTGGACTTGAACTCATGGGGATCCTCCTATCTCAGCCTCCAGAATGTTGGGATGACAGGCATGCACCACCACTCCTGGCTGCTCAGATGAGCTTTCGGTGATCTCAGGAAGAGCTTACCATTTCTTCCCTTCCCGCCTTTCTGTTTCCAGCACTGGGGGCTGAATCCAAGGCCTTCACCCTGAGCCCCATCTCTTTTAATCATTTATTCTGAGGCAAGGTCTTGCTAGTTGCTCAGTTTCCCTGACTGAACTTGAAATTTTGATCTCTTGCCTCAGCCTCCGGGAGTGCCAGGATTACAGGTGTGCACCTGTTCTGGCTTTCCCTTGGTCTTCTAAAGGCACAAGCCCCACGCAATCTTCCAAGCACTGATTTCTAATTTTCACCAGGAATTCAGAGAAAATTCAGCAGCTCTCAGTTTCCCTCACGCTCCTGATGCCTTCCAGCCCCCTGTCCCTGCCTGAGCCTGGGCCCTGGGAATCCCCACATTCACTGGATTCAGTTTCGAGGGCTCTCCAGCCAAGGGGGCGACAGGGGCCAGTGTGTGGGGATGGGTGCATGGCTGGGCAGAGGGAGCAAGAGACCCCGTCCTCACTTCTCTGTGCCCTTCTGCAGGGTGTGCATGGCAGCTACTTCAGGAAACATGGCCAAGTTCGCCCTGAATCAGAACCTGCCTGGTGAGTGTGCAAAATTGGACATGTGTGTGTGTAAGCCCCTCTTCCCGTTGGTGCCTCTGCTGTGTGTGTCTGTGTACGCAGTTCTGGGGTTTCTCTAACACAGTAGTCAGATAGCCCTTTCCAAAAGCCCTTGAAGGAAGTCACGACCCTGCTTAAAACCCCAACTCCCCGTGGTGGTGGCCTTTAAGACCCCCACAGTGGGAGCTGTCCCGATCTTTCCAGCGCCCCTCCCTGGCTCTCCCCTCACCCTGCTGCGGGCTCCGGGCCTCCTCCCGGAGTTCCGAAGTTCACCTTGCCCACCCTCGCCCGAGAGGCTGCCGGCACGGATCTCTTCCGAAATTGCTTCCTTGTCCCTGTGCGGGGCTCAACCTCTAAATCCCCTCAACCAGAGACGGTTTCTGACGTCAGAGCCAAAGTCTCGCCCCTTCGGGTGCTTCCCTAGTCGCTGTTCTTGCCCTCATCATCGTTTGGAATGATCGTACTGATCTGTCCCCTAAAGAGGGCAGGGATGGCTGTCCTGTTACCGGCCTTGTCGCCAGAGTGTACAAAACTGCGTGGCACCCAGCAAGCGCTCAGTAAGCGCGTGGCCGCGCGACGACCCGGAGGCAGATAGACCTAGGGTGTGGTCGTGCGCGCAAGGCAGGGGGCCAGGGCTTAGGGGAGCCATGCAGGCCCCTGGTGGGGCTCTGGGGGAGGCTTACAACCGACACTTCTCTCTGGGGTCTCCTTGGCTTGACGACCCTATTGCCCGTCACGCCCACAGATCTGGGCAGCTCTCGCCTGTGCCCAGTCCCGATCCAGGGCTCGAACAGCCTGAGCTCGCCCTACTCCGTGGAGACGCCCTACGGCTTCCACCTGGACCTGGACTTTCTCAAGTACGTGGAGGAGCTGGAGCGCGGCGGCCTCGCCGCCCGTCGAGCCCCGGGACTCCCGCCCACGCGCCGGGCCCGCGTACCCCGCTCCAACCTCGCGGGTGCTCGCAGCCCAGGCGCCTGGACATCCAGCGAGTCCTTAGCCAGTGATGACGGCGGAACTCCCGGCGCGCTCTCCCCTGGGGCGCCTCGGGGGCCCCACTTGCCACCGCTGTCGCCCCGCGCTCTTGTGCGCAATGCGCACGTCGAGAATACACTGCTGGAGACCAGCCGTCGGCTGGAGCTGGCACAGGCGCAGGAGCACGCGCTCAGCCCTTCCAGCGCAGTGCGGCGTAGTCCGCGGGGGTCGGACCGCAGTAGCCCGGTCCCGAGCCCCGCCCCGAGCCCTGCCCTCATCTCTCCAGACCCGACTCAACTGCAGCAGGTGCGGGAACAGATGGCCGCGGCTCTGCGGCGCCTGCGCGAGCTCGAGGACCTGGCGCGCGCGCTGCCGGAGCTACAGGAGCAGGTGCGTGCGCTGCGCGCTGAGAAGGCGCGGTTGCTGGCAGGGCGGGCTCAGCCTGAGCCCGACGGGGAGGCCGAGGTGAGGCCGGACAAGCTCGCCCAGCTGAGGCGGCTCACGGAGCGCCTGGCCACCTCGGAGCGCGGCGTCCGCTGCAAGGCCAGCTCCCAGGCAGACAGCCCAGACCAGTTGGCTGCAGCACGCAAAGAGGGCGCGCGCCAGGTCCTCGACGGGGCGGCCGGGACGCCTGGAACCTGCGATGGGTCGCCCCAGACCCAGGAGGTGGGCACTGAGGCTGTGCTCGAGACCCGAGAGGCAGGGGCCCAGGCAGCGCCCGAGACCCGGGAGGCCGGCATGGAGGCGGCACCTGAGACCGTGGAGGCGGACGCATGGGTGACCGAGGCGCTGCTCGGGGTGCCTGCAGCTGCGGAGCGCGAGCTGGAGCTGCTGCACGCCAGCCTGGAGCACCAGCGCGGGGTGAGCGAGCTGCTGCGCGGGCGGCTGCGAGAGCTGGAGGCGGCGAGGGCGGCCACGGCCCCGCAGTGCGACGCTGCCACTCAGACCCCTGGGGGCTGCGCGGAGAAGACCACGCAGACCGATCTCCCAGCGGAGGGGCCCTGCCCGGCTGCAGAGAGGGAGAGTCCTCCTGGGGACAAAGCTGCGGCGCCGGTGGGTGAGTTCTGACGCCCCCCCCCCCCCTCCGCCGAGCACCAGCCCTCGGGTCGCCAAACTCAAACTTATGCACTCATCTGGTCCCTGCTAGGTGCCCTCAAATCCATCATGAAGAAGAGAGATGGCACCGCTGGTGCCCAACCCAGCCCGGGACCCAAGAGCCTGCAGTTTGTTGGCGTCAATGGAGAGTGAGCGCTTTGCCTGTTCCTCCCCGCAACAGCTGGCGGGGCGCCGAGGGAGCGCGCGGGCCGGCCCGGTTGCTCTGCCGTGAACGCGCCTGCCCAGACGTGCCGCGCAAGCCTCCTGCTCTGTCCCCAGGTATGAGAGTTCGTCCAGCGAGGACGACAGCGACAGCGGCGACAGCAGCGACAGCCAAAACGGTGCCCCGAGGCCCTCGAGGAGTAGCTCTTCCGGCTCCGGGGACGACAGCGGTGGGGAATCGGACTCCCGCACACCCAGCGCAGGGGACGTCGGGGACCCTGGGCCAGAAACAGAGGCTGAGGCGGAGTCTCAGTCCGGGACCCAGGGAAGGTACGAAGCGCTAGCGGCCGGGGGAGGAGGGGCTGGGTGTCTCAGGACCCCTTCAATCTCACCCGCCTCCTTGCAGGTACGAGCTGAGCCCGCGGTTGCGCGAGGCGTGCGCTGCGCTGCAGAGACAGCTGAGCCGGCCCGGGGGCGTGGCCCGCGACAGCGTGAGTGCGCCACGGCCCTTCCTGGGGCGCCCCTGCCGCCCTCTTAGGAAGCCCTAAATTTGGTCCTTTCTCACCAGGGACTGTCTAGACCTTAGATTCTCCCCCACAATCTCCGTTCTAGAGACGGGGTGACCTGTCCTTAATTCCCCCAAAGGGAACTAGGCGTGCTGCCGCATGGTAGCACTCAGGAGGCTGAGTTGGAGTCTACCCTGGGCTACATAAGAAGACCCTATCTCGCCACTCACCAAATCCCACAAAAGGGGCGCACCCCCAGTCCCAGCCACTGATCCAGGTCCTGGCCCTGCCCCACAACGTGCCAAGGGCAAGCTCTCACCGCCTTCCCACACTGTAAATTCCAGATTCTTTCCAGAAGGATAAGGACCCCCCCATCTTGGGAACCCCGCTAACTGTACTCCCTTTCTGAAAGCGGTGTGACCCCAGCCATCTTCCTACTCAGACAAGCGGCGACCCTCTTCCTTGCCAGGATCGCCCATGGGGTCTTGCTGACACCCTGCGCCCCCAGCCCTGGATTATTACTGACACCTTTGCCGGTGTCCCTACAGAACGCGGTGCGCCTGGTGTCCCAGGAGTGGTTCCGGGTGTCCAGCCAGCGGCGCTCCCAGGCCGCCTTAGTGGCCGGGGTGCTGCGCGGTTTGGCGCACCTGGGATCCGCGCTGCTGACGTACGTGGTGAACCTGGCAGACGACAACGGGAACACGGCCCTACACTACAGTGTGTCCCACGGGAACATGGCCATTGCGAGCCTGCTGCTGGACACGGGTCAGAGTCACGGAGGGCTGGGGAGACCGGGGAATGGGAGTCACATTGATGAGGGCACCGGAGGAACCAGGCGGGAGACGCCGGTATGGCCGGCAGGGGGCGCCGCTGAGCCTTTGTTAAATTGCAAGATCCTTCCGGGAGGGATTTTGTTTTGTTTGTTTTCGAGACCCTGTCACGCTATGCAGCTAGGTTAGTCTCGAACTCACAGTCCTCCTGCTTCAGCCTCGCGAGTGCTGGGATTACAGGCCTGTGCCACCATGCCCGGCTGCGGGTGGGTTCACTGCACTCCCTCCCGCCAGGGAACATTGAACTCAAGGCCTTCACATTGAGCTACTGTCTTTAGCGTTTTTGTTTGTTTAAATCAGGGTGCCGCTAGGTAGCCCAGGGAGCGATCCTCCTGCCTCAGCCTGTAGAGGTTTGGATGACAGTGTGTGCCACCACACCAGCTCCCTACAGTTTTTTGTTTTTGTTTTTAATTGGGGTAGTGGTGCATGCATGTAGTCTTGGGAGGCTAAGGCAGCAGGATTGTTGTGTTTGGGGCTGGTTCTGGGCTACACAGTGAGTTCAGGGCCAGCCTGTACTACATACATAGCAAGGCTGTCTCAAAAAGGAGGGTGGGGTCCTCCTGCCTCAGTTTCCAGAGTGCTGCGATCACAGGCTCCTGCCATTGCTCTTAGATCCCAAGGGTCTTTCACTCCACCAGACACTGATCCTGCCCACCCTGACCCTCCTCCTTCTGTGGGGGAGCAGGTCTGCCCAGCCGTGGGATGAGACCGAATTACTCAGTCCTACCAGCTTTAACTTGTCACCTGGGAGAGGGGGCAACAGGCTCTCAGGGCAGCTACGACTGCACGCGCAAAGGTGCCAAGCACGCAGTGAGGGACAGTGAATGCCCCAAATCAGACCAGCCAGGGCTCTGCCATGCTCCTAGGCTTCGCCCACTTTCCTGCTTCTCCTTTTCATCCCCTGCCTCAGCTTCCCACTCTGGAGCCCAAACCCGATGCTGCAAGCACGGAGCACATTGGGGGCATTGGTGCTTCAGTGCACAGCCCAGAAATCTGCTGGATACCGAGTGTTCCCACTAGGCCATCCTCCACCGGCGGGGTCCTCTCCCCTCACCCTCTATGCTTTCGGAGCCCAAGACCACACACAGGAAGCCCTCTGGGTTTGCTGAGCAAACATCTCGGCTCCCTGGACAGTCATGGAGATGAGGGTCAGTGCCGGGGGAGAGTTGAGGTCATGTGTGGAGACAGACCATTCCTAGAGAACACAAATTCACTCCCAGGGACATGAGGGGCCATTAAGAAATATCATGACATGACACGAGGAAGCAAGGAGGTGATCTTTGAGGCCACCCCCAGTGCCCCACACACACAAAGAAAAAGGAGGGGCCAGGAATATAGCTCAGTGGCATGGCGCCTGTCTGGCAAGAACAAGGTCAACAGTTTAATTCCTGGAATCAAAACAAAAGAAACTGAAGTTGGGAGGTCTCCTGCTCATATCCCAGGCCAGCCAGAGCAACTCAGACTGAGACCTCGTCTCAAAGTAGAAAATTGGGCTGGGAATTTAGCTCAGTGGCATAAACACCTGCCTGGCAACTGCCAGGTTGAGTTTAATCCCCAGGCCAAAAACAAAAAACAAAGGCCGGATTTGGATGTGTGAAGATCTCAGATTCAATTCCCAATACCAGTGGTGGTGGTGACCCCATATGGCCTGCTATGCGATTAGAAACCCATTTAAGCTTTTTGAGACAGGGTCTCTCTGCAGCCCAGGCCAGTCTGAATTGGCAATCCTCCTGCCTCAGCCTGAGGTTATTGGTGCATGCCAAAGGCATGCCTGGGTAAATTTTTTTTCCGTAGTGCTGAGGACCAAATGACAGCCCTGTGTATTCTAGAAAAATGCTGTACTGCCAAGCCACACCCCAGCTCTTACCCCTCCTTTAACCCGCTCCCTAAGGTAACTATCCTGTGACCCCAATCGGACCCCCTCCCACCCATTCACTTCCTGAGCTGTCTCTCAGGCAAACAGCCATGCCAGGAACACACTGCCCACAGAACTGACCCCAGAGGAGGCCGAGCTCATGTTGCTTCCTAGTGAAGTAGCCATTTCTTGGGGCTGCTGTGTCACCACATGTGGCTGAACACACCAGAAACGTCAGTTCAGCAATCTGAGATCAAGGCAAGGTGTCCTCAGGACTGGCCCCTGTGGAGGGATGCAGAGGGAGAATCTGCTGGTGCCCTCCTAGCTTCTGGTGGTGGATGTGGGTAATCTTTCCACATAGTGACTTTATCTTAACAAGACTACCTGTGCAGACCCCATTTCCAAGTAAGGTCATGTTCGTGGGTCATGGTTGGGGACTGGACCTCCATCTTTGTTTTTCAATCAAAAACCCAGGATTATCAGAAGCAGAGGATTCTGGGGGAACATCTAGGCTGGGAATGTGGCTCAGTGGTAGAACCCCTACCTAGTGGTTGACAGACCCTGGGTTCCACTGCCAGCATCAAAACAAAAAACCCAGAAAAAAAGCATAAAGAACACATGGCTCGCATAGTAGGGGCAGGGGGCATGCCATGTGTTCTACAAGCAGAAGGATGAGAACGGGCTCAGGGAGTCAGGTGACTGGCTGAATCTTTTGACAGCTGCTTGGGTGACTTCTGGAAGGTGCAGTGGCCAGGGGGATCAGCAGGGGGGCAGCTCATAGTTCCAAACAGAGAAGCAACCATACTGGCTTGGTGGCTGTTAGCTATGAAGCATGCCTACCCACTCAATGGACACTTACTGAGCACCTATTACATGCCAGGTACTAAACAAGGGCCACAGCACCAACAAAACCTGCCCAACATAGAAGTCAGCAAAGATTTCCCTGAAGCAAGTGGCATGGGTACAGGGTCAGTTAACACCAGGACTGCACTGTGACCGCCCATCTCTCCCCAGGAGTCTGCGACATCTGCTGCCAGAACCGTGCGGGCTACTCTGCACTCATGCTGGCCGCACTGGCCTCCGTAGGGCAGGAGGACATGGCCGTGGTCCACAGGCTCTTCACAATGGGTGATGTCAACGCCAAGGCCAGCCAGGTGCACACTCTCGGCGACTTGGGTTCAGTCTTGAGGGAGGGGTCATTTTCCCTTGGGGAGCCCACCCTAACCAGCCTTACCCCCTCCCTTCTTCGGTCTCCAGACAGGACAGACAGCCCTCATGCTGGCCATCAGCCATGGCCACAAGGACATTGTGGCGGCCCTGCTGGAGTGTGGGGCTGATGTGAACATGCAGGATGCCGATGGTGCCACTGCGCTAATGTGCGCCAGTGAGTATGGGCACCTGGATACCGTCCGATTGTTGCTGAGCCAGCCAGGCTGTGACCCTGCTATCCTGGACAATGTGAGACAGGGTGACCTTGGGGCTGGTATGGAGGGAGGGGGTGCCCTGCTGTGTCCCAGAGACCAGATACTCTAATGTTCCTCAGGAGGGCACCAGCGCCCTGGCCATTGCACTGGAGGCAGAGCAGGACGAGGTGGCCGCTCTGCTGCACGCCCACCTGAGCTCCAGGCAGCCTGGTTCCCAGGTGAACACGCCCCGCCCCCCCAAAGCCTTCCCAGCTACAAACCAGGTTTAGAGAGGGCACCAAGCATGTGACAGGCCTTCCTCCCTGGGGAGCCGCAAAGGTGGGGAATTGGTCGATTCTCCAGTGAGGCAGATACATCTCCAGGTCAAGAGGCACTAGGCAGGGAAATAACCGGGCTTTGATCAAAAGCAAAAGTATTTTCCCCAGGGCTTTAGCCTGCTCCCCAAAAGGCTCATGTGAAAAGGAAAGGACCTCACTGACTTGGCAAGATTTGCCAGCAGATGGAGGGCATGCTAAACCTAAGGGACAGAGGCTTATCTGCAAAGTGCACCAATGTTCTCGGCACTTTAAGAGACTATCTCAGGTAACAGAATTATCCCAGGTATTATCTCAGGTAGTAACAGAAATATCCCAGTATTTTCTCAGGTAACAATTATACTCACTAGACAGCTGAGACATGGGAATGGTCAAGCGCCTCTTCTCAGCCACAGGGGTAGAGCCATGATTCAAACCAGGCAGCCTGGCTGTAGTAAGGGGCAACGTTCTCTGGGGGTGGTGGGATGACTGAAATTTCCCAGTCTCCAGTAAGACTCTTCCTTCTCTCTAAACGCAGGCAACCCCAGACCCTCCTGCAGCCACCCCCAGGGAAAGAGGATGCAGTGACATCAGAGAGGACTCCCAGCCCCAGTGAGCTGTCAGATACACTAGCCTGGGACTTCGAAATCCTCCCTCCACGCCTCAGCCTCTGGGCCACCCACCCACTCCCTCCAACTCCTTCCCTAATAAAACACTGTTTGCATTGTCTGGGAACAGCGTGTTTGTATACATGAAGGGTGGGAACACATTTACATGGTTTCCCTTGCTAGGGAAAGGCCTTCACATTATCCGGAGTACCGAAGGCCTGTGGCCACCTGAAGACTGCACAAGACCCAGAGCAACTATAGAAGACTCAGAGCAACGGAAGTTTACACACAATACAAACATTTTATTTTAGGAGTCGCAATTCACCCCGTGGCCCAGGTGGTCGATATCCAGGACCCTGTAAACAGACCCGAGCGTGAGACGCAGACAGGCCCCCAGCACCCCGAACAGCAAATGCCTCTTCCCTCTTGCCAAGCTGCTGATCCTCCCCCCGCCCCCGGGCTTGACTAGGAGGGCAGACAGGGCTTCCATCCCGTACCCACCAGCAGCTGACATCAGCGCAACCTCCGGGCTTCCCGCTCCGATTCCAACAGGGTCAGCACGTCGCCCTCGCGCACCGGCCCCTTCACGTTGCGGATGATGGAGCGGCTCGTGTCGTCCATGAACTCCACGCGCACCTACGGGCCCGCAGGGGAAACGCAGACGGGTCAGGCTGGGCCGCTGGCGGTTGGTGGGGACCACACGCAGATTGACGTGCGACAATGAGCTCCGGGATAAAGGGGAGGTCGGCTCTCAGATCTCCCAGTAAGGATCCCGGGCACGAGAGCGGTCGGCGCCAGGTCGTAACGCCCAGGAAATCGCCGCGGGTCCCCCCGCCCCAGCTCACCTGCGTGCACTGTCCCTGTGAGCCGGTCCTGCCCAGCACTTTGGTGACCTGGTAGGAAGAAGCTGAAGTCAAACCCGGCCCGCCCAGCTCTCCTAACCCTCTCGCTCCTTTCCTGGATGCCGAACTCCCAGCCCCAACTCACCCTGGCCAGCTTGATGGGCTGCACGCGACTCGTGTCCATGATGGCGACCGAAAACGGTCGGACGGAGAGGAGTCACGTGGGTCGGGGGAAGCTCTTATAGAGCGCCTCTGTCCCGCCCACTAAAATTCTCGCGAGATCGCTTCTCGGGCTTCCCAGAAGGCTCTGCGATACTGGCGTCACCGGCGCCCTTCAGCGCTGAGCAAACATGGCGTCTGCCACTCGTATTATCCAGAAGCTGCGGAATTGGGCTTCCGGGGTGCGCGGGGAAGATGGGGCCACGCTGAGAGGGATGTGGGCTCTGTATGCCAGGGACACACGTCGCCCCGCACCTCCCTCTGTCTCCCAGCCCACGGGCTCCCGGGCTGCTCCAGTTCCCTAAGGGCTGAACCCTTTAGGCAGGGACTCACTTGCCCACCCTTAGCTATTGGCGTTATCTTGGCCCTGGGATCTCCTTAGCCCTCTACCTCAGCTTTGGATCTCGTGCCTTAGCTTTCATTTGCGCACGCAGGATCCATAGCCTTGTCCTGATCGTGCATCCCCTGCCCTCCCTTCGTCTCCTCACCCCTCTTCTGGGCGCCCCGCAGGCTAACCTCCCCTGTCGTCTTCCCACAGCAAGACCTTCAGGCGAAGCTGCAGCTGCGCTACCAGGAGATCGCCAAGCGGTGAGCAGTCCCCGCTTGCTGCCCAGCCTCCGATCCGGTCTTTCCCCACCAAAAACAAAATCCACATTTCTTCAGACCCCAGGATCCCTGAGTAGAGATCCTGTCGTCAGCTACTTGCTTGGCTGTGCAGACAGAAGTTTGCCTTTAACCTTGCTGGGCTTTCTGGAGCTGGCACCTCGTGGAACAGTCAGGCTGGGTTTGCGCTGTTCTTTGGATTCCCGAGTAGATTTGCAGTCCACGGTGTGGCGCTGCCAGTTTTGTTTTGCCCCCAACCCTCCAATGGAAACGTAAGAGAACTCAAAAGCCCAATGCTTCCAGTGCTTTGGAAGCTAGAAAATGATATCTGGGGGTTGAACCCCAAAACATCATGATAGACTCATTTATATAGTTGGGATTTATAAACTCTGGGATTTATAAGCCGTGTGTTTAGCTTTAGGGGTACTTGTAAGAACTAGAGTAGTTCTGGTCCGCACTCCTTTCACGGAGCTAATATACTACAGAAATAAACACAGCGAGTAACACTGTTCTTTAGCAGAAGCTGAATGAAAGTGAACTGGAGGGCAGGTACCTGAGGTCCTGTTTGGGAAAGGTACTTTTGGCAGAAATTAAGGATGCTGCGCCCTCTAGTGGTTCATTTTGGCCTAGGTCAGGGACACCTGGTTCTTTTTTTAACTTACTGTGCAAAGGTGAAGTCATGGCTGGATATAGACAGGATTATCTCTGCCTTCCTTAAACTAACTTGAACTTTCTCGTAATGTATTGCATATCACATTAGAATAGTTATTAGCCTTATACTGCATTTCTTATTTTTGAAATACAGTGACAGCTGGGTGTAGTGGCCCTCACCTTTAGTCTCAGCACTTGGGAGGCTGAGGCAGAAAGATTGCTATGAATTTGAGGCCAGCTGGTCTACATCATGAGTTCAAAGCCGGCCTGAACTACACAGCAAGACCCTGTCTCGACAAACCAAAACAATGGCTAGCAGTTCATCTATGAAAAAGTTAAATCATGGCAAAGGGTTGCCAGACAAAAGAACAGATCTTTGTAGGATTATTTCCCCCTGTCTTGTTTGCTCTCTCCCAATTCCTCCCTGGGAAGCTCCTCTTTTGTTTAGAGCTCAGTGTTTCCTGTTAAGGCGTCAGACTTCTTCAGAAATTCAGCCCAGGGATCAGTCTTAAGGCAGGACTGAGCTGGGTTCACCCTCTTCTGGCATCAGACCACACGGTAGCAGGAAATTCAGTGACCTGGACGGGTTCCAAAGCACAAGGTGTTCTTTGGGTGGTGAGCCTTGATCCCAGCAGGGTGCTTCAAAGAGTTTCTGAGATAGGAAACCCTGGCTCCCAGAGGCTGGTCTTGGGAGGAAAAGCCACACAAAGCAGGCATAGTCAGTGCTGTCCAAATATTTCTGTACCATAATCGCCAGATGGGTTATAGCCATGGCCGTGGCCTCTTCAGTTCCCAAGCACACAGACAGAGCTGAGCCAATGACCATACCCACTGTGGGATATAGCTAAGCCCCCTTCCGGAGAATCTCATAAAGGGTCCTCTGTACATCTCATATTTGAGCCATGGGGAGACCTGGGGTGGGGTATCCTGGGCCTGCACTTGTGAGACCTTTCCTGTGCTGAGGGGTACCTCGCTGCTGGTCAGCCTCATGTATTTGAGACTCGTACAGGACTGATTAAAATATATGGTTTGTGGGGCTGGGGATTTAACTCAGTGGCATAAGAACCTGCCTGGCAGGTGCAAGTCATGAGTATATATACATGCATATATGTATATATATGTATATATATTATATGTATATATATATATATGATTTGTGTTGAAATTTTAAAAATTCTTACTGTAAAAGAAACATTATCCTGTAATCCCATCACTCAGAAGGCTGAGGCAGGAGCATTGCCATGAATGCTAGGCCAGTCTGGACTACATAGTATGTTCAAGAGCAGCCTAAACTGCATACTGAGACCCTAACTTTAAAAAAAAAAAAAAAAAAGGAAAAAAACATTGTCATTAGTCTCTCTCCAGACACTTCCTCTTGAATTGAACACAATCATTCTTGCCATTTTAGTCAAGGCTGGGCTTGAACTCACGGCAATCAGGAGGCCATGTCAGTCTCATGAGTATCTTCATGGTGATAAAAAACACTGCTGTTGAATGCCATCCCATGAAAAGGCAGGCTTATACAACATAGTGTGTCCCTATCCACCTTATTTCTTTTCGGAGACAGAGTCTCACTATGTATTTCAGTGAACTCAGTAATGACCCTCCTGCCTCATCCTCGTGAGTGCTGGGGTTACAGACATGTGACACAATCCCTGGCATCATCTACCTATGGACTCATCTGGTACTGTGTGATTTCCCCAAAGTCAAAATGACCGAGTTAAGCATGATGGTTCATGTCTGTAATCCCAGAACTCAGGAGGCTGAGGCAGGAGTGATGTGAGTTTGAGGCCAGCCTAGGCTACATAGTGAATTGAAGACATAGTAAGATCTTGTCTCAAAAAGCAAAAATAGCTGAGCATGGTGGCTCATGCCTGTAATCCCAGCACGTGGGAGGCTGAGGCAGGAGGATCATGGCGAGTTCAAGACCAGCCTGGGCTACAAAGTGAGCTCAAGGCCAGCCTGAACTGCATAGTGAGACCCTGTCTCAAAAAGACCCAAAAAAAAAAAAAAAATCAACAACAACAAATAGCCAAAGAGAAATGCTTTGAATCAATTCAGGACATTAAGGCAGCCACAAGAGCATAACTAAAGACATTCATGCAAGAGGCTTTTCAGAACTTTTTCAAAAAGGGGCAGGAATGATGGGAAAATTGTTTTTAGGGGGAGAAGTTTAAAGGGATTAATAGTATGATTTATAATAATTTTTAAAAATTTTTAAAGCATTCACAAAAATATTTGTTTTTTTTTTTTTGAGACAAGATCTTGCTATGTAGTTCAGGCTGGCCTTGAACACAAGGCAATCCTCCTGCCTCAGCCTCCCTAGTGCTGGAATGACAGGCATGCACCACCACGCACAGCTAAGCATTCCTCATATTTTGTGATCACATGTCACCATCTGCACTGACCTTGAACTCCCAGTGCTGGGACCTCTGGCTTGCACTGTCACTGCCCACCTAACAGAGTCTTGTGAGCGTTGACAGGCTTACGGTGGGCTAGGGAGGGAGACAGGGCTTGTCCCCTTGCTTCAGGGCCAGTGTTCTCTTTTCTCAGGACACAGCCTCCTCCCAAGCTCCCCGTGGGCCCCAGCCACAAGCTGTCCAGCAATTACTACTGCACTCGAGACGGCCGCCGGGAAGCCGTGCCCCCCTTAGTCGTTATGTCCTCACAGAAGGCGCTGGCAGCAGGCAAGATGGCAGACAGGTAAGGACAAAGACATCAGCAGCACGGCCTCCCACCGCCAGCCCTGCCTCCCTGGCTGGCAGAAAGTGCAGTACAGGGTCCCACTGATAGGCAGGGTGTAGCTTGGTGGTGGGGCACCCGCCTGCCCCACATGGGGCCCTGGGTTCTGTCTGCAGTGCTGCAAGAAATTTCCCGTTGGGGCTGGGGATTTAGCTCAGCAGCATAAGTGCGTGCCTTGCAAGCAGGCAGTCGTGAGTTCAATCCCCAGTACTGATAAAAAGGAAAAAGACAAAAAAAAAAAAGAAAAGAAATTTCCCGTTTACGGAGCCTGTGTTTCTGGGCATGTTCACTCTAGCTCGGCTGCAGACAAGGCTAAATGCCCTGGTGAAGGTTGGTGTTAGGATTCTGGGGTTCTTCAGGACCCCCAGAAGAAGCCTGGACATGACTGTTGTCATTTTCTGGTGGTGCCGGGAATGGAACCCAGTGCCTTGTGTATGCTAGGCAAGTGCTCTACCACTGAACTATCCTACCCCATCCTGTCATCTTTTTTTTTTTGTCTTTTTCATTTTTACCGGTACCGGGGATTGAACTCACGACCACCTGCTTGCAAGGCAGGTGCTTATGCCGCTGAGCTAAATCCCCAGCCCCTCCTGTCATCTTTTGATCTTAGAGAGAAAATTATATATACCTCAAAACTTGGCCTCTCAAAACCCAGTTGGATAAGCCTGGTGTGGTGGTGCACGCCTGTCCCTGCTACGCAGGTGGATGCGCAAATTCTGGAGTTCAGTGGCACAGCAAGATCCCATCTCAGGACGAAGTCAAACAGCAAACAGTAACCCCATTGGGTGCCTGGCACAGGGGCCTCATCCGAATTGAATGGGTCACTAATGATAGGAGGTTGGGTTTATAGGGTTGGGCCCTTGCCCTCGGTCCAGCAGACCAAGCCAACATGGAGTAGTTCTTGAAGCAGGTTGGGTCGCCTAGGAAATGGATTTGATTACGTGGCCTTCCAAGAAATCAGGAGAGAAGTGATGCCCAGATCCCCAGCTGGTCAGTCTTAGCAGCAAGGTAAAGGAAGTCCTCTTCATGTTAACCTTTGTGAGGAAATGAAACTTAGAAATGATCCCCCCCTTTTCCTTTCCTGCTTTCTTTAGTGGTTTCCTGTGTATAAAACCTACGCCCTCTGCGCAATTTGTCAGAATACTCAGTTTTATAGACCGAGGTGCTGTTTAATGCCAGGGCCACAAACAAAAGCCAGTTGAACCCTGTGAGGTAAATGTGCTGTAACCTGTCTTTGGACAACAGTGCATGTGGATGATGAGGCTCAGGACTTTCGTTTGCTTGTTTTCTTTTCTTTTTGGTTTTTGAGACAGGGTCTCACTGTGGAGCTTAGGCTGACCTTGGACTTGGAGCCACCCTCCTGCCTCAGCCTCCTGAGTAGTGGGATGACAGACTCAGAACCATGCCTGGCTCAGTCTCTTCACCTATAGAGTGGGAACAAAAGCCAGGGGGTGCACTTCTGTCATCCCAGCACTCAGGAGGCTGAGGCAGGAGGATCACTGTTGAGGTCATTATCAGCCTGGGCTACATAGTGAGTTTAAGGGCGGTCTGAATTGTGCCCTGTCTCAGACAGACAGACAGACAGGCAAAGAGACGGTAAAAGTCTTGCTGAGTTGCCCAAGCTAGTCTTGAATTCCTGAGGTCCACAGGAGTTGAGGTGCCAGAGCTGCATCACCATCTGACTGTAAGATCATATTTTTTATATGAAGTTCTTCTTTTGTACCAGAGATCAAACTCATGATCTCGCACTTGTGGCTTGGCCACTGAGCTAAATCCCCAGCCCTAAGATGATATTTTTTAATTGGGGCATTTTGTTTGGTTTTGTTTTGAGACAGGGTCTCACTATGTAGCTCTTGCTGGCCTTGAACTTACTGTGTAACCCAGGTTGGCCTCAAATTCAGAGGGATCCTCCTGCTCAGCCTCCCATGTGCTGGGATAACAGGTGTGTGTCCCCAGGCCTGGCTTAGGCACACATTTTCTGGGGTGTATCTGTGCACTTTGCATCCTTCTGCGCCACCCTCTTGAGGCCTCGGCCTCATGAAAGTCTGTCTTCTTCCTGCAGTTCAGCCGTGGCGGCCACTGAGAAGAAGGCCGTGACTCCTGCGCCTCCTTTGAAGAAGTGGGAGCTGTCCCGGGACCAGCCTTACCTGTGACACCGTGTGCTGGTCACCTGACCACGTCACCACAGCCACCCAATTGCTTTTCCTCCTTGGCTTCCCTCTGGGGAGAATGTGACCTAATTGATGACAAATACACAGAACTCCACCACTTCCATATTCTCTCTTTTGCTGTTGTAATAAGAAGCCAGGCCTCACTGTGTTGCCCTGGCTGGTCTTGAACTCCTGGGATCGAGCAATCCTCCTGCCTCAGTCTCCTGAGTTGCTGAGATAGCTGACACAGTGCAGCCGTGCTCAGCCACTTTTGATTTTTAGGTGAACCCAGTTCCTTGGATTCTGGGGCACAGCTGGTGCTGAGTCTCCTGGCCATGTCACAACCAACCCTGGTGGCAAGAGAGGAACAGTGTTTCTTTGCATGCCAGGGTGACTCCATACCCGGGTATAGAGTTCCATGATGTGCTTCAGGGGACCCAGGGCTGCCACTATCCCCTTCCCAAGTGCCCAGTTCTGTCCCCTAGGGATTGGGGATCCCCTCCTTTGGTGTCTAGGGCGTGTCCAGCCAGCTCTTTACGTCCCCACTGTGGCTTGGCTCACAGAGGTGGCTCCCCAAGGCTAGGTGAACCAAATCTGCTGTGCTACAGAGGGGGAAGGAGTGTGGAGTCTGCCCTGGATGATGGATGGATGGAGGGCACCTGGGTCCTTGGAGGAAGAGGGTGGGGTCTGACTGCGAGGCTGGAGGCTGCACGGGAGGCCTGGGACTGTCGCCCCACCTAGGCAGAGCCAGGGAACGGCACAGGCCCATACAGCAGCAGGTGTGGGTGTGCCAGGGCAGCGTCCCAGTTGCCAAGCGCTGCAGGTGTCCTCTGGCAAGAGCTGAGTCAGGCTGGGGAAAGAGGTGGGTGGAGGAGCGCTGGAGGCTCCCTGCATAGAGGCTACTAGGAGGGCCCCCAGGCAGGATGCCGTAAAGCTCCAGCAGCCCAGCACCCTGATCGGGAGACAGGCCTGCCTCCTCTTGTCTCAGTTACTTTTCTCTCGTCCCTGAGACCAAATACCCCACAGCCAAAATTAAAGGATGGGTTTATTTAGCTCACAGTGTAATGGAGTTTCAGTCTGCGATCAGCTGGCTCCAAGGGAGGGCGGCACAGCGGGGAGGGGCAGCCTTTCGAGGTGGTGGAAGACTCCATAACAAGATCAGAGGGATCCTGGCTAGGGCCACATGGCACTCATACCCTGAATCCCAGCACCAGGCCCCTCCCCAAAGCCTGCCCCACTTGACCTCTTAGCTTGGGAGACATCCAGACACAAACCATAACACCACCTGAGCTCTTGGGGGCCAGGGATTCACACCCTCTCACTGTCCCTTGGCCAGATACTGAACTCCCCATGACATCGGCTGATGCTGATCCCTGGAGCAGTTGTGGGTCATCCTGGAGCTGGCCCTGGAGACCAGGCAGCTTATGTCTCCCGCTCCTTCCACCTCTGCCCCTCACAGACACCCTGAGCCCAAAGGTAGGGGCTCTGCTGTACCCCTCACACACACACCACACCACCCCCACCCCCCACCCTGCACAGCCCTGCTCAGCGCCTTCCTAAGTCTCCCCACCTGGTTCTGCTGCTGCTCAGTTCCCTTTGCCCCTGGAAGACCATTATGGAAAAAATAGATGCCCTCCCGAAAGAGCCATCCCGGGCATCGTTTTTACACAGCAAAGCATGCTGTTAGCCTGGGAAGGAAGACCTTGGGGGAAACGCTAGAGAGAGACCTCTGCGGTCTCACCAGGAAACTTGGAGGAGGGGTAGGGGCGGCCAGCTCCTGGGTGAGGCGAGGGTGTTCCTAGTGCTGGGGAACAGTGGCTGTCTGGGACAGTCACACTCATTGTCTCTTGAAGGCCATTTGCAAGAAAACAAGGCTGGCTAGAAAGCCTTTGAGCCCAGCCAAGAGAGCCCAGGCCTGCCTGGAGGAGGGGGAGGTTGTGGAGTGACACCCACTTCCCTGGGCTCTGGGAGGGGAGGCTAGGGGAGGCAGCGAGGGCCACGTTAGGCTGGGGGAGAGAGCACCCAGGATAGAGTTGTTTTTGTCTTCCTGTACAGAGAATTGAACCCACAGTTTTCGCACTGAGCTACATCCCTAGCCCTTTATTTAGTTTTGTTTTGAGACAGGTCTTGTTAAATTGCCCAGGCCAGACTCGAATTTGGGACTCCCCTGCCTCAGTCACTCAGGGTGCAAAATTACAGGTGTGTACCTCCTTGCCCAGCTTTTTAAAAAATGTATTTTTTTTTCCAGTGCTGGGGAAGGAACCCAGAGTGTTTGCACACTTTACCACTGAGCTGCACGGTGAACTGAACGTTTTAGGCATTCATTTATTTACCAGATACTTAAGAGCCTATTGTGTTTCAAGCTCCAAAATAGCAGTGAGTAACTTTTGCATCCTGGAGTTGGGATTCTAGTGTGGAATCAGAAATAAACCAAAACAAGTCAATAAAATGTAAATTCAGAGACAACTACAGCGGGGCTACACGTGGGGCAGGAGTTTTGTGCTCAGTCATATAGAGGCCCCAGCAGGCTACAGACGGGCAAAATGTGTGGAATCTCTCATTGGTACAGATTGGATTGGTCACAGGTTTACCAAATCAAGAATTTCAAAGGTGGGCATGGTGGTGCACACCCTGTAATCCCAGCACTTTGGAGGCTAAGACAGGAGGATCACTATGAGTTTAATGCCACCATGGGCTGCATAGTGAGTTTAAGGCCAGCCTGAGCTGCACAGCAAGACTTCATCTCAAAAAACAAAACAAAACAAGCCAGATAAAATGTTTAAAATGTTTCAGCCTTGAGCTGAAGATCACAAACAGTATGGTGGCAACCCACAGCACCATCATAAACTGCATATTGTTATTAGAGGAAAAAGTATGAAAAGACTTCTGTACTGGGAAAAAAGATCCAATAAAGATGCTTGGGTTAGAAAAAGCACTCATAAATCAGGCATGGTGGTACACACTGTAATACCAGCACTCGCTGAGGCAGGAGGATCTTTGGGAGTTTGAGACCAACCTGGGCTACAAAGTGAGTTCAAGGATAGCTCAAACTGCATAATGAGACCGTCTCAAAAAAAAAAAAAAAAAAGCATTCATGCCTCCAGTTCACAAGAATATCCCTGCAGTGAATGCAAAACCACAAAGTGGTTAATCATTTGGTAAGAAGCTCTAGATGCTGCCACAAGAACTTCCAACAGGAGCAAACACATTTAGCAGGTGCCTGAAGAGCTCGGGGAATCAGACAGCAGCGGCATCTAACAAGTGCCTGTGCACACATGCCTGTCATCCCAGCACCAGGAGCCTGGGGCAAGAGGAGCACAGGAGATCAAGGCCATTCCGGGCGTCACAGGAGACCCTGTTTCCAAAACAAAAAGAAACAAACCAAAACCAAAACCAAGCCACAAAACAAACCTAAATGGAGGAAACAACAGAATCCTAATGCCATAGTGCTGTTGGTGAAAAACTTTTATTTTTGAGACGAGGTCTCGCTATGTATCCCAGGCTGACATTAAGCTCATGATCTTTCTGCCTCAGCCTCCTGAGTGCTGGCATTCCAGATGTGCTTCACCACACCCCGGATTATGCTTTATTTTTTTTAATCTATTTTTTTTTTTTTTTTTTTTTTTTTTTTTAGACAGGGTCTCACTCTGTAGCTTAGGCTGGTTGTAAACTCACTGTGTAGCTGAGTCTAGGCTGGCCCTGAACTCATGGGTGATCCTCCTGCTTCAGTCTCCGTAGTGCTGGGATTACAAACCTGCGCCACCACGCCCGTCATTACAGTATATTATAACTACTCTCACCCTCAGCCATATAAATTCTTTTCTTCCCGCGACCAGATAAATTCGCGCGGCAGCATCAAAACTGCTGGAGGGTGGGGCCTAAGGGGAGAGCCGAAGGGAGCGGTTGCCGTATTAAATACAATAATTGGGCCGCAGTTTAATGGCCATAAGCCAGGGGGGAGCAAAGTAACGTAAGCGGACAGGGAAAAGCTCCTTGACATCGCCAGAAGCATGCAGCTTCAAGCTGGAGCTGTCCTCAGTCTCTGGGTGAGGCGGGCGCCACGGTGTGCGCCCTCATTCTGGCATTTAAGGTGGGCGGGGTCGCGGGCGCTGGTCACGCCCCCAACCTGCGCGTGCGCGTGCGCAGGAATAAGAGCGAGGCCCGGGCGGCTTTCGGTCAGCGCCGCTGTTCGAGTGGCGCGAGTAGCGGCTGGATGGCGTGTGGCGGGCCACTACGGAGCGCCGTGTTGGGCTTGGGGTTGCGGCTGCTGCTTGGCCTCGGACTAGGCTTGGAAGCCGCTCCGACCTCAGCCTCCACCTGGTTGTTGACCCCGTCTCCAGGTAAACAAGCCCCCTCCACGCGCGCGCAACCCCGCCGGTCCTCCCGCCCTCGCGTGTCCGTAGCGCCTTGCCATTGGCTGCGCCGCCCATCCATCGCGGGCACGCCCCCAGCGCGTGGCTCTAGCAGTAGTAACGCGCGTGGGGCCGGCCGGCCCTGGAGCTCCAGGTGAATTGAATGAGGTCTCTGCGCGTGGGTTCGCCACCTGCCTTGAGCGGTCCAGAGGGTCCTCCCGGCGCTCTCCCCGACCTGCGCTCGTTTTGTCGTGCCCTCACTGTCACCTCCACGCCGCCCTTCAGCCCGGCGTGGTCGGGAAGGCGCGCTGCAGGCACGGACTGTGTGCCCGACCTCTCACCGCAGAGCGTCCCCTGGCGCCTCCCCTCGCCGCCGTGTGTCCCAAACCCTTATTCCGGAATCTGAGGCCCTGTGCCCGCAATCCTGACCTCCCAATTTCTCTGTGGTTTCCCGCCGTAGAGAAAGCTGCGAGTATATTTCATAGGTGATCCCAGCTTCACAAGTAAACTACTCTCCTGGGTTTATACATGTGGCCCATGAGACCAAGGCCCGTGGGACCGGGGCACCCTCGCTGAGATCCCCAGAGCAGCGGGAAGCTTTGGGGTAGGCACGAAGCATGGGTTTCACACCCCCATTCACCCCATTCCCTCTTATCAAAAACTCACCCCAAAGCACCTGTGTTTTCAAGCTGAAAGTTCACATTTCCTCGTTAACCAAGTGCGGGATTCTTTACACACAAAGGGCACCTTTTCTCAGCGTGCTAAGTGGGAAATCCTGGCTTAAGGTAGGAACCACAGTGTGACAGGATATCAGGTGCCTCCCGGGACTGGGTCACAAGGTCACTGGCCTGCCAGTCACCCAGTGTCCAGTCCAGGAGAGGACAAACTACCTATTTTAGAGCCATTGTTATATGGGGTTCCTAGCCATATCCCACTTACGCAGGAGGAAACAGGGTGGGCCGGAAAATCTCCAGCCACTCCAGCTTGTCCTGGGGGACAGGTCCTGCTCTGCTGTGCTGCCCACGTACTCCATGGGCCAGGCAGGGGAGCACAGGGGCGCCAGGACTGTGGGCGGCTGGGCTGTGGAGAAAGCAGCGCTCAGACATCGCCAGCTCGTGAGGGCAGCAAAGGAAGCTGGCTGCAGGTTGCCTCCTGCCCTTCTCAGCTCTGCAGAGTTTAGGGACTGTGTGACCTGAAGGTTGCCCTAGCAAGTGACATAGGACAGGGACAGTAGGGCCAGACAGAGGGAACGGAGACAGACCAAGCCAGGGTGGGGTGCTCGCTACCTTCTCTGCTTGCTGCAGCAGGAGGGACAGCCTCTGTCCCTCGAGGTCCCTGTTCAGAGTTCAGGAAGGCCACAGCTCATCTGGGTCCAGTGAGGGCCCTTGCATGACCTGTGACCCCTATATTGTCAGGTGCTGCCCTGGGTTGGCTCAGGAGGTCACAACCCTGACCTTCAGCAGGTGTGTGGTTTAAGGTTCGCTGGGATACATGGGTCTCTGGGAAGACAGGAGATGTCTCCCAGGAGGGAAGCTGGGCTCTGAGGACTGCGGAAGGAACCACAGCTGCAGCGTACGGAGAACAGGGAGCCAGGAGAGGTCGATAAAGAATATGGGGGGAGGTGAAATTTGGTTGTGAAAGTCTGGGAGCCAGGGCAGGATGGGCGACAGAAAGATGTGACTCTGAGGTACCCTTTTCTTTTCTTTCTTTTTTTTTTTTTTTAATTGGTACCAGGGATCGAACTCATGACTGCCTGCTCACAAGGCAGGCGCTTGTGCCGCTGAGCTAAATCCCTAGCCTCTGAGGTACCCTTTTCTAGTGAGGATCGGGGTCCAGGGGTGGGGATCGGGGTCCGGGGGTCTGGTGTGGAGGTGACACATTCAAGATGGGAAGCTTTAGGAGCAGTGTTGCTAAACTTTAGGTTCCTATCCAGGGCCTCAATTTCCCCTTTGTCAAGCATAGGGGCTAGGACAGGCCTGCTGACCTTGGCCAAGAGCCTGACCGAGCATGTGTTGGGGGACAGCTCTCCTTCCCGCCCCACCTGGAGGCTCAGGGATGGACTCTGGCCATTGGGAGGCCAGCAGGCTCGGGTGGTGAGACCTGGGTTCAAACCCCAGGGCAGTCCTTAGTTCCCTCCCCTTGGTTCCTTCTGTGGACTGGGGGTGAAGGCAGTACCCACCCATCGTGAGCGCTCCACAAAAGGCGGCCACCAGTGTTGTTCCCACACCCTGAGGCCTGGTTTGTGGCCTGGTAGTTACAGCCTGTGACCATGGTCCTCTTGGAGGAGGACCCAGACTTGGGCTTCCCCGCTCTCACTTGTGTGCATTCTGCAGGCCCCAGCATAGGCTCCTGCTTGCCTCCCGACTTCCAGTGTCGCACTAATGGCTTCTGCATTCCCCCCACATGGCGGTGTGATGGTGACATAGACTGTGAGGATGGCAGCGATGAGGAGGAGTGCAGTGAGTGGCCCGGCCCGGGGCGGGGCCTGTGGGGCGGGGCTGAGGAGGGAAGGTGGGGCTCCAGGAGTGTGGGTGGGGCCAGGGTGATGGGCGGGGCTTGTGAAATGCGGGTCTAGTCAGGGGTGGGTTCTGAGAAAGGCTTGTGGGGAGGCGGGGCTAGGGGTGTCTGGGGCAGGGCTCAAGGAAGCTTCTCCCTTGGGAGCCGGGATAGTAGGGCAAAGGTCGAGTTCTCTCAGGTCCTTAGGTGGGCTTTACCGGGAGCTGGGCCCTGGGTTTTCATGGAAACACATTTGTGACCTCCTGGACCCTGTGCCCAAGGGATTCAGCCCTGTGCCCAGAATGGGCAGTGCCCCCCGCCTGCGGATTCCACTTGCTTCTGCGACAGCATCAGCGATTGCCTTGGTGACCCTGACAAGAACCTGCAAAACTGTAGCCATCGCCAGCCCTGCCCCACAAACCAGATGCCCTGCAAGACTGTGGACATGTGTGTGCCCCACGAGTGGCACTGTGACCGCCACCCGGACTGCCCTGATGGCAGTGATGAGCTGGGCTGTGGTGGGTGTCCCGGGTACACGACAGGCCTGTGTGGGTGGTAGGCTGGTGGCCATGGTGGGGATGCCTGCGACTGCCTCCTGGGCTGTGGGTGCATCCACTGCCCAGACCTACGTTCCCCCACCTCCACCTTGTCTGGGATCAGCATGAGCCCCTGGGGTCTCCCCAGTGCACCCCCTATTCCCTACGAGCCCATCCCCAACTCCTAAATGCCTTGCCTCTTTTTAGAAGTCAAATTGAAGGAAGGGCATGCCTCGACCGTAGGGACCCCGGTCACCTTGGCAGGTGTCACATCTCTCAGCAATGCCACAGACTCCTTTGAGGACCAGCCTGGAAACCCAAGTAGCTACAAGGTCATCGCAGCTGCTGGTAAGTGGGACAGGCCCTTCTGTGCGGGGCTGGGAGCAGGGAGGGACAGGCTGTGGCTGTCATGGTCCTACAGGTTGGAAGCAGGGTCCGTATGGCAGTCTTTGTCTGGTCTCACCTCTACCATCTGCCTGTCTGTCCCCTGCAGGGTTACTGGGTGTCAGCCTGACTGCTGTCACTGTGCTAGTGTTGTTCCAGCTCCGAGCCCAACGGTCCCAGCGCCCACTGGGGCTGCTGGTCGCTGTGAAAGACTCCCTGATGCTGTCAGAGCGGAAACGTTCTGTGCTCTGAAGATCACCATCAGTGTTGCCTTTGGATCTTGACTGCAGCCAGCCTGGAGGAGGCACGGGCAGTCATGGGTGTTCCAGCCCTTGGGAACCCAGCTGCCCTGGCACCTAGAACCTCAGACCCCAGCTCTTGCAGATGCGGTTCCCAAGGGGGTGTGGCCAGATGGTCAGGCCCCTGGGACTGAGAGTGAAGATGGAGGAGAGGGAGCTGCAGGGTGCAACACAGTCTCGGACGTCATCATCTTGTGCACAGACACTCCTGCTGCCCCAGCTGGGTGGGGATTAAAGTCCTGCAGCCCCTCTGCCTCTGGCCTTTGTTTGAGCCAGGCAGCCTGAGGGCTCTGCTGTCCCCCCTCCTCCAGGGTGAAGTGCTCAATGTGGAGAAGGTGGGACCCAAGGTCCTGTCCCAGGCACCCCCTTAGCCACTGTGCCTCTTGCTTCCTGGGAGTGGAGCAAATACGGGCTGGAGGGGTGCTCTGCATTTGTGGTGGGCTTCAGGGGAGAAGAGCAGAACTCGGGCACTGCCTGCTCCTTCCTCTAGTTGGGGTCCCCCTGCAGGCTTCTGCCTGATAAGGAAGCCCAATGGCCTCCACTGGTCTTGGCTCCATCCTGTTTTAAAATATAGAGTTTATTTACTCAAGTATGGTAAGACCAACTGATAAAAGAGATAAGCAACAGCCAGGCATGATGGGGTATGCTTGTAATCCCAGCACTCAGGAGGCTGAGGCAAGAGGATCAAAAATTCAAGACCAGCCTGTGCAGTTTTGAAATTTAGCAAGACATGTCTCAGAATAAAAAGGCTGCAGTGTGAAGGTTCTGGGGTGAATCTGGTACCACACATGCACAGACAAACCCTCACAGATCCTGGGGTATGAGACAACCGCCCACACCAAGCCCCTCAAGGAGGCTGAGGAGGCCAAGGAAGCGGCTGGCAAACCTCCCTGGTGGTTTTTACAGCTGGGCAAGGGCCCTGTGTGGTTAGCAGGGCTGTTCCTACTGGCTGGGACCTAGTCCTGGGCTGGGACAGGTGGCAGGCACCCCATTGGGTGAGGACTCAATTAAAGGTGCTTGCTTTACAGGCGAAAGGTCGGTTCCCAGCTTTCTCTGTGACCATTTGCCAAGGCCAGGAAATGTCCCAGGGAGGGGCCATTGCTCAGTGAAGGTTGAGGTGCTGAGCAGGAACAGGAAATGCAGCCAGCATACACCTTGGGGCTTTTGGGACATGGGACCAGACTGTCAACTTCTGACCTGAGTTTTTTGTTGTTTTTTGAAGCAGGGTCTTGTTCAGGGTGCCCTTGAACTCACTGTCTCAGTGCTCCCCGCCAAAGAAAAAACCAATTTTGAGACAGGCTCTTGCTAAATTGCTGAGTTGCTCAGGATAGGTTCCAATTTGGCAATCTGCCTGCCTTAGCCTCCCAGAGTACTGGGATTATAGGCACATACCACCATCCCTTAGAAATCAACAAAGGTTATTCCCCTGATTTCTGCTTGGCACCACCAGCCACCACAGGCCAGAGGTGTGTGTCAGACACCTGCCAGGCTCTGAAGCCATGTGTCCCCTGAATGGATAGCTGTGGCATGCAGACTTCAGGGGTGTCTTTGGGTTCTTGGTCTTCACTGAACAAACTGTTCCACACAGCAGCCTTACCTTCTCTGTCCCGGTTTTGGGCCTCAAAGGTGGTTCTTTCATAGGATGAGCCTTGCTGATTCCTGGGGGTGAGGCTGTCCCATGTCACCAAGTGGAAGGGCTGTGTTCTGTGGGCTGCCAGGGGTGGGGGTGGGGACGGGAACACCCAGTCTGTTTCGAGTGGCCTCCTAGGAGCCTGGGAAATCGGGGCTCCTAAAGTGCAAAGTAGAATCAACTGCACCAGCATCACTCCCCATGCACACAGCTGTGTGTGTGTCAGCGTGGGGCCTACAAATGGGTGAGCCTGAGCCCCAGGCTGGGGCCTGTCTTGCCCAGCAGCTGCCTTGAGCAGACAGAGAGAGGCCGGAGATGAGGGTCCCTCATCCCTGAAACCAGCCTGGCCACCCTGCTGTTCCTGTGAGTCCAGTGCTGGGGATCCCGGACTCTGACATCTGGTGGGTGGGTGCATCAGGAGGGGCACTTTTAGCTTGGGGACCTGTGCCTGGCTGTGTGGTGCTGTGTTGTCATCTGTATCCCTGGGGTTTGGGTCCCCCGGGATCTTGGGGCCCTCTGTTCCCTTTGGCTTGCTCATCTGCTACCAGCACATCCTGTCCCTAAGAACCAGCATGGGGGGTCATTTCTAGGAAACTACCATTTTATTATTTTTTTCTGAGACAAGGTGTTGCTATGTAGCCCAGGCTGGCCCCAAACTCACTGTGTAGCCCAGGGCAGACTCATGGAGATCCTCCTGCTTTAGCCTCTCAAGTGCTGGGATTATAGGCGGGCAATGGGTGGGTTACTGCTGCTCAGGCAGAAGGGTGGCCAGATGGGATCAGGACCGTGGGCACCCTGCAGTGCCACTGCTGAACTGAGTGACAGACTGTGTACTATGCCTCCAGGGGTGTTCAGGAGCCCGTGAGGAGAGGACCAGCAGAGACAGTCCCACTTCCCTGTGAGTTTATGCTCAGTAAGTGCTAGGTGGCCTACAAGGGAGTAGGAAGCAACAGAAAGAGGGCAAGGGGACTACTCTCCCCGGTCCTGCTGCCCTCTTCTGTTATTGAGGGAAAGTCACATAACCCCAAATTAACCATTAACCACATCAACCCAGGCGGTGCCTTTCAGAATCTTCATCGGTTATGCAGCCTCCACCCCAAACTGATTGCAGGAAATTTTCTGTTTTTGTATTTTATTTGAAATCAAGGTGATCCTCTTGCTGCGGCCTCCCATCTTCTTGGAATATTGGCTTGTGTCTGGCTTCTTTTACCCGAAGTGAATAATCTTTTTTGGGGGAGGGGGTACTGGGGATCGAACTCATGACCTTGTGCTTGCTAGCAGGTGCTTACACCACTGACCTAAATCCCCAGCCCCCAATGTGAGTAATCCACTCCCCTTCCCCCCGCCTTGGTACAGTTCCCTAATCAGTGTGGTAAAGTGATTACCTAGCGCTGCTTTGTGCTGGGCTAGGGTAAGCACGTGGGAGGTTGTACAAGGATGTGTGAAGAGTATACTCAAGCAAACACAAGGGCTTGTATTTTTATTTTTTGAGACGGTTTTGTTCAATTGCCCAGGATGGGCTTAAGTTTGTAGCCCTCCTGCCTCAGCCCAAATACTGGAATTGCAAGTGTGCACCACCATGCCCAATGTAAGGTTCCTTTAATGTAACAATCACCAGGCCAGGATGGCGAGTAAGGTGACAACCTCTTAACTCACATATTGCTCGCTATAAACAAAATCACTGTGGCTGGCTAGGGATATAACTCAGCAGCACAGAACCTGTGCACCACTCGCGAGGTCGTGAGTTCAATTCCCAGTACCAAAATAAGTAAAGAAATAAATAAAGGCAACCAAAATTCCCTGGATTGTGCCGGAACTTCCCAGCCTCCTGCCTTAGCTTCCCAAGGACCTGGCTTTACAGATGCTCACCACGCTCTGCTGGATTGTTTAAACATGGTTAATTTAATGCTGTGTGAATTTCACCTGCACAACAAAGCCAAACGCGGGTGGGAGACACAGCCACACCGTCTGGGGAGATCATTGTTGGGGGGTGGCTCCTTGCCAGACCAGAGGGGCGGGAGCCAGGGCTGTACTTTCAAAACGGCGCGATGCAGGAAGCGGCCTCGAGGTGGCGCCATCTGCCCACGCCTGGGCCGTTTGGGTTCAATTTTCAGCACTGGGCCCGCGTATGCTAGGTAAGTGTTCAACCACTGAGCCACACCCCAACCTTACATTTTGAGGCAGGGTCTCGCTAGGATCCTAAGGCTGGGCTCAAACTTTGAGATCCTCCTGCCTCAGCCTCTCGAGCAGTTGGAATTACAGGGATGCTGTAGTGCGCCAGCCTGAAAATTTGAAGCGCTTTGTGGTCTCCCGCTTTGACTTTGGGACAGCTGGTCCAACTCTTTTCTGTCATGCAATTGGATGATGCTGGCCCCACCCCCAATCAGAACTGGACTCTCATTGGTCAGGAATTGCTCCTTTGGCTGCCTGATTGGCTCACAGGCAGCACGAGGGTGGGCCTCCGGCATGTCCTGTGGGTTTGTGGAAAATTTTCCCGCTTCCGGAAGTTGGCCGCAGCCGGTACCCACTGTGGCCCAGGAGCCGAGATCTCAGTCCTCAGTGCCGAGAGGACGGAGCCGAAGCCACGGCATCCAGAGCCTGCGGGTCGGCTCGGGCTTCCGGAGCGAACCGTACCCTGTGACAGCCACAGCTACGGGGCGAGAAAGCCCTTTCAGAACCGCGTGGCGCACAGCGGTGATACCAGCAGTTGGAGAGGCCGAGGCGGAAAGGTCGCGAGTGTGAAGACATCCCGGGCCATTTAGGGAGACCCTGGGTGCACAGAACAAGAAGAACAAAGGTCGGGGCCATGCACAGTGGTAAAGCACCCCTGGATTGACGGTAGTGCATGCGCACACACTCAGCTAAATTTAGCGGAGGGGTGGGATACTGTCATTGGTAACAAAAGATTCCTAATAGGTGCAGAAACCTTGGGGCGCAGTGACATTTTCAGTTTTTGTCAGATTTGTCAACCTTCTGCTCTGTCCTTTGAGCTTCAGGGTCTAGCTTCTTAAATCTTTTACTGCTTCAGTGCCGTAAGATAATGTCATGGTTATGTGTTAGATTTTATTCTAACAGCAGGAGAGCTTGTTTGTTTTGAAATTAAAGTTGGGCTGGCAAATAATTCAAGTCCAACAGTGCTTCCCAACTCCTTATGAGACTGGGCATGGGGGCGCACACCTGTAATCTTAGCACCCAGGAGGCCGAGGCAGGAGGATTGCTGCTAGTTTGAGGCCAACCTGGGCTACATAGTGAAAATTTGTCTCCAAAAGGAACAAATAAATAATAAGAAAAAAATCACAGAAAAAAGCGAGAACACATTCACGGTGGGGATTTCGTGAGGACTTCCTGGACTCGACTCTAAGAATTAACTGGGTGTTGCCTTTGTCTGTGTCTCACTACAGGATCCATACGTTAAAGACAATGTCTGGAAGCTTCTATTTTGTAATCGTTGGCCAACAGGATAATCTAGTCTTTGAGATGGAATTTTTGCCAGCTGGGAAGGCGGAATCCAAAAATGGTTATCGTCATCTGAACCAGTTCATAGCTCACGCTGCTCTTGACCTTGTGGATGAAAACATGCTTGAAAACTGTTCAAACAACATGTACTTGAAAACCGTGGACAAATTTAATGAGTGGTTTGTGTCAGCGTTTGTCACTGCCGGCCACATGAGATTTCTTATGCTTCATGACATAAGACGAGAAGATGAAATCAAGAACTTCTTTACTGATGTTTATGATTTGTATATAAAGTTTGCAATGAATCCATTTTATGAACCCAACTCTCCTATTCGATCAAATGCATTTGAAAGAAAAGTTCAGTGTCTTGGGAAGAAACACCTTTTAAGCTGAATGCAGAAAAATTGAAAATAAACTGTTACATACTCAGGGCTGTGTGCATTGTAAGTAACTTGATTAGCCTAGAAAACTTACTTGTCTCCATTTATCTAAATCTAATGGGGGGGAGGGAGCTGGAGATTTAGCTCAGTGACCTAAAGGCCTGCCTGGCAAGTGCAAAGCCATGAGTTGAATCCCTGGTACCAAAAAAAAAAAAAAAAATCTAATGGAATTGCTTTTTTTTTGTATCAGGAATCAAACTCAGAACCTAGCACATGTCAGGAGGTGCATAAACCTTGGCCCCTGGAATTGCTTTTATAACTTAAAAATAGTACATTGTGTTTCATCTGGGTGTTATCAATGATATTTGCTTATGAAGTAGAACTCTTTATCAATAATTTCGAAATATTTGTATGTTAAGAGTTGAGAAGCTTTTGACTTTCCTTATCCACACAGTTTGACCTTAATGTAGTAAATTTTTTTTTTGCCTTTTTGATACAGGGTCTCACTGTGGAGTTCAGGCTGCCCTTGAGCTCACTTTGTAGCCCAGGCTGGTCTTGAACTTGCAGTGATCCTTCTGCCTCAGCCTCCCGAGTGCTGGGTTTACAAGCATGAGCCACCATGCCCAGCTTAATGTAGTAACTCATAAAACAAATGTCATAGTCAAGGTTTGATAGATTTAGATCTAAGATTGTGAAGAAGGAGATGAAACTGATAGCACATACAGTGACATATTTGTGCATTTGAAGATACATTAGAAACATTTCTAACACACAGCACTACCTAAGAAGCTGAAGCAGAACACTTTCACAATGCTGAAAGTTATATTCCTGCCTCTGCCAGAGACTGGGAACAGCGATCATCACTGCTACCGTTTTAGAATCCTGCACCTGTTGTGTGCAGTGGACCAGAGTTACAGACCGTGGTGAAACATGCTGCCTGCGTCACCGTATGTGCTTGAATTTCCTTTCAGAGGGTCATTGGAACTTGAATAAACTGATTGATATCTGTACTCACTGAACAGAGTTGTAATACAGTTGAAGAACTGTTATTAAGGAAAGATTTGGAGGGGCCTGGGATTTAGCTGAGCAGCATAAGCTCCTGCCTGCCAAGCGCTAGGTTGGGAGTTCAATTCCCAGTACCAAAAAAAAAAAGCTGTCTTTTCTCTAGGGAAGGTTTGGATTACGCTAATATTTGCACTTGGCTGTTTAGATTGTACACTGGAGAAGGCTGGTAGTCATCTTTTCTGTACTATGCTAAGTGTGTGATTTCTTTTTTTTTTTTTAATTTTATTTAAAAGGAAAAAGAAAAAACAAAACAAAACAAAGTAGTGTAAGGGTACAAGTAATACAGAACTACAAAAAACAAACAAACAAACAAAAAAAAAAAACCAGTAAGAAATCACCAGTTAATAGATTACACATTATCATCTTAGAGACAGTTGCTCAAATCACAGTATCAAAGCATACAAAGTGGACATTCAAACAGTGAGACTGCAAACAGGTGTGTTCAGTGATCCAACCAAAAACATTAATATGGTCAGCTATTTAACACCGCTAAACACACTTGCTGTTGTATCCTTTAGAGTTAAGTGTGTGATTTCAATGTAAGATAATGCATATCCATAGAAAAGCAAGTAATACTACCAGGTGTTTTCTGTGTTTATTTTGAGCACTTGAAGAATTTTGTCCTGTCCTGAATGACTTTTGAGCAAGTAATTCTAAGCTTAGTCCTTCCTATATCCTTGTGTCTTTTGGGTTTTTTTTCCGGTTCCTGGGATGGAACTCACAACCTTGCACTTGCCAGGCAGGAGCTTATGCTGCTGAGCTAAATCCCCAGCCCCTTACTAAAGATGTCTTTAATCACACATAATCACACACATAAACCCAGAAAACTCATTATGAAAATTAGCACTGCTGCTTCTTATGTTTCTTGGAATTCCCCAAGCTAATTGATTTTTGGTGTTGTTTCTTCTTCACGGTGTACTTCATTGTTTATTTTTTGACACAGGATCCTGCTGTGTAGCCCAGGCTGGCCTTGAACTCACAGTGATCCTCCTGCCTCAGACTCCCAAGTGCTGGGATCACAGGCATGCACCACCACATGTGGCACAACTTTGTTTTTTTTTTTAAAAATCCTTTTTGTATACAGACTTCAAATGCAGCAATTTATCTAAAGTAGCCCAGGCTGACTATGAACTCACTATGTGACCCAAACTGGCTCAGATTTGCAGTAATCCTCCTGCCCCAGCCTCCTAAGTGCTGAGATTACAGGTATGCACCACCATACCCAGGTCTAAATTACTAATTCAGGCAATTTACCTGTAGAAATTTTTCTGTACCGTGAATATGTGTCTGTTGTAAAGAAGCCAGGGCTTTCCTGTACTCTACCATTATCTAACCACTGTCTGACTCCCTCCAGCTTTTGAACACAAGTAGGATTTCATAGGTGGATAATAGTTTTATTTTTCCTTTTTTTTTTTTTTTTTTTGTCTTTTTCCTTTTTATTGGTACTGGGGATCGAACTCACAACTGCCTGCTTGCAAGGCAGGTGCTTATGCTGCTGAGCTAAATCCCCAGCCCCTATTTTTCCTTTTCTAAACTTTATGGCCTTTTCTTCTTTTACCAAATTACAATGCTTAGAACTCCCAGCATCTCCTTCCTTCTTTGGAGACCCCTCTTTCCCAGTACTGGGGTTCAGACCCAGTACCCATGACTGAGCCACATCCAAAGTCCCCCTTTTCCATTTTGAGAGAGGATCTTGCTATGTCACTATGTTGCCCAGGTTGGGCTCAAACTTGTGATCCTGCCTCACCCTCCCAAGTAACTGGATTGCAGGATGATGCCACCATGCTCAGCCTACGAGTGTTTTTTTGGGGGGGCGTTTTTGGGGATGATAATGGCAAGTGGGGAGGTCCCTGGGCATGGGAACACCAGGTACAAGGAGTTGCAGTAACTGTAAGCCTTGGTGCACAAGACACTTCATTGCTGGTAAATCCCCCTTTTCATATATTTTGTTAGCATAAAATCACATAATATGAAATTAACAGCTCTAAAATGAACAATTTGGTGGCATTTAGTATTCACAAGGTTATAGAACCACATGTTCCAAAACAGTTCCATGACTCCATAAAATAACCTTTTATGCACCTTTTAAATAGCTAGCTATCTTCTCCCCAGAACCCAAAAAACTGCACCTGGGATAGCTTTCTGGGTATTTCATACAGATGGAATCAGAAAAGTGTCTGTTTTTTTTTTGTGACTGGCTTTCATGCTTTTTGTTTGTTTATTTTTCTGAGACAGCATCTCACTATGTAGTCTGGCTTGGAACTTGCTTTGAACCCAGGCTGGGTTTGAACTCTCAGTAATCCTCCTGCTTCAGCCTCCTAGTGCTGGAATCACGGGGGTGCACTGCCCCACAGGAGGGATCACCCATTTTTAGCACACATTGGTACTTGCTTCTCTTATTGTTGAAGAATATCCATGTGGGTGGATAGAGCACAATGTGTTTATCCATTCTCCCACCGGAGGCTGCTGGGGCCATGTCTACCTTTAGTTATTGTGAATAGTGCTTCCCTTTGTCACTTTCCCCTTCTGGGATGTAATACTAGACACCCACATTTTAGAGGCTTATTGGGTTCAGTCCATGGTCATTGGCTCCAAGACAGAAGCAACATGGTGGAAAGGCCTGGGGGGGGGGAACAGCTGTTCACTGCAGGGTGCTCAGGAAGCACACAGAAATGGGGAATAGGGTGAAGTATCCCCACTTCCATGCCATGTTGTGATAGGCCCCACCTGCTAACGTGAAACTTTTGGGGACATTTTTGATCAAAGCCATTCACATTGATGAACCCATTTTATATTCTCATCAGCAAAAAAATAGGCTGTTTTTCTCTATCCTCACAAACACTTTGATTTTTGAGATAGAATCTTGCTCCATAGTCCAGGCTGGTCTTGAACTCACTACATAGCCTAGGCTGGCCTTGAACTCACAACGATCCTCCTGTCTCAGCCTCTGGAGTGCTGGGATGACAGGTGTGCATCGCTGTGCCAGGTTTATTTTTTATTTAGTCAGGATCTTGCTACATCACTAAGTTTCCCAAGTTGAGCTCAAGCTAGTGATCCCACTGTCTTGCAGAGTGCTGGGGTCACAGATGTGAACCCCTGTGCCTGGCTGCTTATGCCTTTTAAATTGTATTATTAACCACGTAGTGAGTGTCTACCTCTGTATCTCACAATCTACAGCAGTGGCAGTAATGTAAGTCTACCTGAATCCCGTTCCCCTTACATTCCCAAATCAAAGGTAACATCACGGTTTTGAATTGTGTTTCCATTTTCTGTCTACTATAGTTCTACTAGATAGATATTAATGCCTATACAAATTTTTTTTTTGCAGTGCTACTATTTGAACCCAGGACCTTCTGCATGCTAAGCAAGCACTCTGCCACTGAGAATTCTGTTGACCCCTATTATGTGTAACATGGCTATGGTCTGATTTTTGTTTTAATTGCCAATTGCAGACTGGGGATTTAGCTCAGGGTCTTAAGAGCCTGGTTGGCAAGGTCGAGGTTGTGAGTTTGATCCCCAGTACACCCCTCCCCCAAAAAAGAAATTGCCAATTGCATGTGTCTAAAATGACATCTTGCTGTATGTGGTGCTACATGCCTGTAATCCTAGCACTCAGGAGGCTGAGGCAAGAGGATTGCTTTAAGGGGCTGGGGATTTGGCTCAGCATCGTAAGTGCGCCCGTCTGACAAGTGCTAGGTCATGAGTTCGATCACCGGTACCAAAAAGGAAAAAAAAAAAAAAAAAAAAAAAAAGGATTGCTTTGAGTTGGAGGCCAACCTGTGCTAAGTAGTGAGTTCAAAGCCAGCTTGGTCTCAAATACCAAAGCAAACCCAAAAGTAAAACCAAAAAGCCCTCATGGCCTCGAAGCCTATTTTCCTACTTATTAGTGAAGTCAAATGTGTCTTTATAAGTTTGTTTTCAAGCTGGGCGTGGTGGCTCACGCCTGTAATCCCAGCACTCGGGAGGTTGAGGTGGGAGGATCATTGCAAGTTCGAGACCAGCCTGGGCTACAAAGTGAACTCAAGGCCAGTCTAAACTGCGCATAGCGAGACCCTGTCTCAAAAAAGACAAAAAAAAAAGTTTTTTTTTTCAGCATTTTCTACACATGCACTAAATGTTTTGCCTTGAAAAAAATGTTTTCAATGGCACAAGAATGGAACCAAGCCCCTGGTATGGAGCCCCACCCCAGACTTTTACACTTTTGTAGGTGTTTTTTGTTTTTTTTTGAGGTCTGGCTGAGCTGCTCATTGCCCAGGTTGGGCTCAAAGTTCAGATCTTGCTGTGTCTGCTCTCAATTCTGAGATCACAGGCACGCATCAACATCCCTGGCGGCTTTACATTATTTATATATATATATATATATATATATATATATATATATATATATAAAGTCATTTGATGCCAAAAAAATGAGGGGTGGGTGGGAGCGGAAGAGGTTATTGCTATGTAGTTTCAGGCTGGCCTTGAGTTCACTATGTAGCCCAGGGTGGCCTTGAACTCTCAGCATTTCTCCTGCCTCAGCCTCCCGAATGTTGAAATTAAAAGCGTGCACTGCCATGCTTGGTTAGCTTTTCCATTTGTTTCTTTTGCTTTTCTTTTTAAAATCAGCATGGGACTCTTCCTGTGGGGCCCCCAAACATAAAGTGACCCCACCCAGGGCTCTTGGGAAGCCTGTGGGAATTTTCAGCCCCACCCCAGGTTGGTTCAGGGGGCACAAGGACCAGCATGGGCCTCTCCTGTGACCTCCTGCCTGACCCTGACTGTCACGTGACTTTAGACGAAGGATTTGTGCTTTGTGGGCACAGTACCTCAAGTTGGGTGTGTGGACTGCTGGCCAAGGCTTCCCCAGTAAAGAAGGGCTGTGGCACTGGCTGAGAGGTCTGGGCCTTACCTGAGGACTTTGGGGGTCTCTGTGCCCTGATCTGTTTGAGATCCCTGGCAGTGTGTGTCCCACCTTGGGGGGCATGTAAGGAGGTAGCCTGGCACCCTCTGCATTTTGAGAAAGGAGCAGAAGCCTAACGGACCCAGGTTCTCAGACAGACAATTCAGTTCAGGTTTTATTGAACCCACTTTTCTGTTGTTGTTTATGAGACAGGGTCTTGCTATGTAGTCCAGGCTGACCTTGAACTCATGGCAATCCTCCTGCCTCAGCCTCCCAAGTGCTAGGGTGGCAGGCATGCACCACCACGCAGGGGCTTTGAATCTCCTCTCAGCCAGGGCTGCAGCCTGAGGCAGGGCCAGCTGGCCACCAGTGTCCTGTCGCTGTGCAGGAGAATGCGATGGGGCCTCTCTGCATCCCCAGAGCAGGCCCCCGGTGCTGCCCGTCCAACCGACCCCAAAGCCAGGTCCCATTGACTATGTGGCCGCCACATGTTTACTGGCCCACTGCCGTGATGCCCGGCTCCGGGGGTCACCAGCCAGGACCGGCCTGGACCCCTGAGTCTCCCTATTCCACAGCCGGGGACTTTTAGGAGTCGCCTCGTCATTGCTGGAACAGGACTCTTCAGTGTCACTGCGAATGTCCTTTGCTATCTGATGACCACAAAGAAGGGACAAGGAGGAGCTCAGGGGTGGTGGGGACTCCGGGGAAGCGCACAGGCTCTAACCCTCCCTGCCATACCTGACCCTTCACCAGGAGGCTGTAGAGCATGCGCAGGATGAGGCCGAACCAGTAAATATGCAGCAGGTTGAGCAGCACCAGAAGCGTGATCAAGAGGTAGTAGCCGATGAAGGGGCTGTAATACTTCATGGAGTCGTGGTAGCAGCTGTGGATGAGCCTACATCGGGAGGGAAAGGAGTTTCACCAGCCAGCGGTGCTCCCAGGCTTCGGAACCTCTGACTCACCGGCTCCGGAACATCTTCCGGCTCCCCAGGGCCCCTCCTGGATGATACCAACGCTCTTTTTTGTTGTTTCATTTTGTTTTGCACTTTTCTTTTTGAGACAGGGTCTTGCTATGTAGCCCAAGGTGGCCTTGAACTCAACTCTCAGTGGTCCTCCTGCCTCAGCATCCTCAGTGCTGGGATGACAGGCGTGCACCACCATACTCAGCTTTGTTTCTTGGGTTCCTTGCAAGAATCACCTTGCAGCAGATGCTGTGGGGGTCAAGTATCCCTTGGCATCCTGGCCAGTTCTAGCTGCACGTTTCCCATACCCTTTCCTACTTGATTTTCTCCTTGGCACAGTCCCTCACAGGAGCCCTGCACGTCAGGAGCGCAACCCAAGGGCGGCCCTGTTCCCCTGCTGTGTCACTGTCACCTCAACAGATATCACCAGGTGATGACTTCCCTGAGCTGGTGCTCCTTCCCCATTTCGGGGTCCTGGGGACCCTGGTCAGAGGTCAGAGCTGCTCCAGCCGGGTGCTGAGTGCATCCCTCCCTCAGGGAGGTCTCTGGCTGCCTGCATCGGGCGCCCATCGGGGTGGGCCCCACGGGCACTCACTTGGTGGGCAACAGGACGAGGCGCGTGTAGAAGAAGACCACGGTGAAGGCAGAGAAGAAGATGTTGCACATCAGCGAGGAGCGCATGTAGTTGAACACCTTGCAAATCTAGGGGCGCAGTGGAGAAAGCGCTCAGAACCAGGGAGGGGTGGGACGGAGGGGTGGACTTGGGGAGCCAGGCAAAGAGGGGCTAGTAAAGGAGCAGTCGAGAGGCCTGCACAGACACCACCTGAGAAAGGCAAGAAAGGCTCCTCGTCCAGGAAGACTGAGAGGGCGTGGCCTTATCATGCCGGGAAGGCTGACGGGGCGGGGCCTCGCCTTCAGGGAACCAGAGGGGGCGGGGCCTAGTGGCCCAAGGAAGCAGAGGGGCGGGGCCTCTTTCCCAGGGAGGCTGGGAGCGCGGAGGCCTGCAGTCCTGAGGGAGGGTGGCAGGGCGGAGCCTCAGCTCTGGGCACCCGGGAGGCGGGGTCGGGCGGTGGCGAGGGACAGGCCCACCTCCAGCAAGCAGTCGCTGACGTCGTGAAGCAGCAGTATCAGGGATCCGATGCGCAGCAGGTTCGTGCAGTAGGAGAAGGAGATCAGGCCGATAGTCACGAAGTGGTGTAGCACCTGCTCCTTGAAATCCTGCAGGGCACGGCGGATCACCAAGGGGCCACACTCGGGCGGGAGGGATTCCCACCCATTCCCACCCACGGGCCTGGGGGCAGGGGCTTGGGCGGCAGCGTGGCCTCTGGACCCTAGCCCTCCCAGGGTGTGGAGATTTTGCCAACCCAGCGCCCTTTGCGGACCAGGTTTCAGTGCCCAGGGACATCCTTTCCCTGGCCCTGCTCTTGGCTTGGCCTCACCTTGCGTTTGATGTCAAAGGGCAGCGAGACAAGTAGTGAGCTGTAGAAACTCAGCTCCGAGAGGTACCACCAGGACAGGGCTGGTTTCACGTGCTGTGGCAGGATGGGGCAAGGTCAGTTGTAGGCGACGGGGGCTTGTACTGGCCGGGAAGGGACATGGCTCAAGACTCTCCCCTTTGCTTCAAATCAAGACCTTTCAAGTCCAGTGATCGTGGAAGGGGTGAGCTCCCTGTCACTGGAGGTAATCAAGGGCAGTTGCTTGGTGACAGCCACGGAGGAGACAAAAATAGTCAAACAGTGGTACTCAGAGGGGAATTTAGGGTGTGATGCTTAGGTCTGGTTCTTGTGCTTGAGCGCACTGCTCCGCTTACTCACCTGGCTTGGTAAATATTTCCAGCACTCCAATATGTCCCACAGCCACGGCTCCTGCAGAGGAACAGGGGCCTCAAGCTCCTGAAAGCCAGAAACCAGGGGCCGCCCAGGTCCAGGGCCCCACAGGAGCTCACGGGGTCCTCTGAGCGAGGCTGTCCATACTCACAGGGTATAGGATCACGATGCCGCTGAGCGAGGCACACAAGTAGAAGAGAAACCTCCAGCTGCGGAGGTGCAGGAAGCCTGGGTCGCCGCTGCCCCAGGAGCAGACGGCGGCCCCTTCCGCGGTCCCTAGCCCCGGGATTACCTGGCCTCACAGAACTTCTTGGACACGTCGGGCAGATCCTGATTCTGGCGTCTCCGGAACCAGTGTTGAGTCTGTCGCAGCGTGAGGCCACACTGGGCAGCCAGGAGAGCCATCTGGGCCTGGGGAGGGGGCGTCGGGGGCTGGGGTCACAGAGGCCTGACGGTGGCTTCCTGCCCACTTGTCCCTGGAGAGGGAGGACCTGGCTCTGCTCTTCTGTACCCTGAGCCCCCGTCTTGCCTGTGGGGTAGCCATGTCTACTATAGAGAGAGTGAGAGAGGAGTTGGGGACAGGACAAGACGCTTTGCTGCGCCTGCTCCAAAACAGTTTTGTTGAAGGATGGGGGGGGGCTCACGCCCTAAGGCGGTGAGGGGCGGGGCCTTATGGATGAGGATGGAGCATGATGCCTAAGGAGGGGCGTGGCCTCTTGGAGGGCGTGGCCTCACGGGGGAGGGGAGGAGCCTTGCCTTCTAAGGAGCAGGTAGGGGCCGGACCTCGCCTGCCAACAAAACCGTGGATCCAGACGGGGTGTGGCGGGTAGGGAATTTGCAATGGTGCCAGAAGCTGTTCTGCTGCTCCAGCCCCCAGCAAACTGTACTACGCAGCCCCAGAGCTGCCATGCTAGCCGTGCGGCTCGAGGCGGGCTCTCACCTCCTCGGGTTTCTGTGTTTTCTGGAAGTATTTCTCCAGCGTGGGGTTGGGCTTCACCTGCTTCCTGATTCGATCCCGCATACCCAGCCACTGGTACAAAGGCACGCCTATGCATCTGGGTCAGGGGACACAGCCATCAGAGCCCGAGAGACAAGGGACATGAACGCAGAGAGAGGGTGGTGTGTAGGGAAACGGAGGCTTTTAGGGGCTAAGTTATGGAAGTTGGCGCACAGCGTGTAAAATACAGGATTCTAAGATCGTCAGGGGAGCATAGGCCTCCCTGTGATCCTAGCACTCAGGAGACTGAGGCAGGAGGATCTCCGAAAGATCAAGGCTAGCCTGGGCTACACAGTGAGTTCAAGGTCAGCCTGCACGACAGAGGGATACCCTGTCTCAAAAAGCAAAACAAACCAGACCAAATACAAGGGATAAACAACTTCAGGAAAAAGGGGTACAGTCCAATCTGTAGGGAAACCTGGTACTTTCATCCACTCCAAAGCATAGAGGAGAAGCCCACCACACACACACACACACACACACACACACACACACACACACGCACTGCCTGGTGCCCGGGGTCAGAGTCTTGGCTTCCCTGCACCAGGCTGAGAGAGTCCAGGGACAGCTGCTGCCCCACCTCCTCCCAAGCCGCCCTTTTCTCTACTGCCCCAATGCCCTTGGATTAGCAAGGACCCTGGTCAATTGACACTGGCCACACAACACCCACCCTGGTCCACAGGTAGGGACCAAGATTCATCTCCATCCTGATATCACCCCTCATTTGGAGAAACTGAGGCCTGGAGTAGGGCAGCAAGGAACTCAACTTTCATACTCAACCGCCATGGGGAGGAGTGGGCTGGTGTTTGCTGAGTGCTAAGAACTGCCAAGGGTAAGGCTAGGTCCTCAGTAAACTCTGATTCATTTGACCCTGTTTTCATTTTTTTTCTTTTGGAGACTGGCTCTTGCTATATAACTCAGGCTGGCCTCAAACTTGTGATGATCCTCTTGCCTCAGCCTCTTGAGATCTGGATGACAGATGTGTGGCACTGCGGCACCTGGCTCAGGTGTCCTTTGCCTCACTGACAGCACCTGGCCCTGTGCAGGCTGGCACCTGGATGGCTGCACATCCAGCTGGAGCCGAGGCTGCGGAGGCTGCCAGTGCTTGGTGGGAAGAAGGTGGGGGCAGCCAAGGAATAGCATTTGGATGCTAAAGCAAACCCTGCCTGGTTCAGGGCACGCAGCAGCGGGGCTGGGATCCCTAGACAAGCCGGGGACATTTACCTGTTGAAGGCAAGGCGTATGGTCACCATCACCAGAGTCAGGGGCAGGATCATCAGCAGGTCCCTGGGGTGGGGCAGGATGATGCCATCCCGGTCCACCATGTCTGCCCATGTTATGGGGGGCGGCAGCCAGAAACGTTCGTGCCACACCAAGTCATGCAGGGTGGACAGCATCCTGTGGGGGACACACGGGGACTGAGGGGCACTTCAGGTGCAGGACCTGGGAGCCACGGGACACAGGTCCCTTCTCCCCAGCAGCGCACCAGTGGGTGGCAGAGAGGGAGGGCCAGAGGGAGGGCCTGTCCCACTGTCCTGGCCCTGGCCATTGGCGCTGCTCTCTGGTCTCCCAAGGGTGGCACTTGGCCACCTCATCACCTTTATCCCATCGTCCCACAAAGAGTACTATGACCAGGACACAGGGAGAAAGTGTGTCCTCAGGCAAATGACCCTGCCTCTCTGAACCTCAAATTCATTCATAAAACAGGTCAGCCACACCCACTGCTCAGCCCAGTCTGCCAATCACAGGAAATGCTTCCTCTCCGGACCCTTCAGGAGAGTGACAAGAGCAGCAACAGCACAGCTCACATCGACAGCTATTATTCTGTCATTTTCAGATGCCAGCAGGGCGGATGGAAGTCAAAGGAGAGGCCACTTGGGGCCAAGAGTGGTGTGTGGGTGTGTGTCGTACTAGGGACTGAACCCAGGGCCTTTGCACTGAGCTACATTCCCTATCCTTTTTACAGTTTGAGACAGGGTCAAAACTTAGATGGATCAATGGATAAATGAGTGGATGCATGGTCGGATAAAGAAGTGGACAAAAAAACATTTCCAAGTGGCCATCTGTCCAACTGGAGAAGATGCTAAGTTGCCCAGGGTGCACTTGAACTTGTGATCCTCCTGCCTTAGCCTTGCAGAGCACTGGGAATTAGAGGCATGCACCATCCTGTCAGGCTGGGGCCATGAGTTCGAGTCAGACATTACAAGTTTTCTTTTCAATACAAGGAGCAGCTTTTGATACAGCCTGAAGAGGAGGGATTGAAGGATGCTCAGGATCGCCCCAGGCCATTCTTGGGAGTGTGGACGCTTTGGCAGGCATGAAAGTAGGGGGTCTTCGACGGACTGGCCGTGGCTGGGTAGGAGCTGACTGCATGTCCACGCTTCTGATGCTAGAGGAATGGTCAGGGCAGGCCAGCATTCCAGCAAAAGCAGCCCGTGAAGCAGCCCCAGCCAGGAGAACTCAACTAGCTCTTCCTTCTTGAGAGTCTGAGCCAAGCACCTAGCTGGTACCCGTCTCCACTTGGAAACTTTTTTTGCCCAATTCTTCATCTGACCATCCATCCATCCATTGATCCATCTGTCTGTTCACCCATCCACCATGCATCCATCCAACTAACCATCAGTCTGTCATCCACCCATCACCCATCCATCCATCTCCTCATCCATCTCTCAAACATCATCCATCCACCCACCCATTCTTCTAGGTATCTTTTCAGTCTGCCCATCAATCTGTCATCCACCCATTCGTTCATACTCTCTGGATCCACTTATCTGGCCACCCACCCAAACATTTTTCCATCCATTCACCTGCCCATCCACCTGCCAATCTGCCCATCTTCCCATCCATCCACCCTTCCATGCATCCATCCACACATTCATCCAGGCAATAAGTGTTCTCAGATTGACCTGACTGGAGATGCCAGGTTAGGATTTCCTACTAGAATCACAGGAGGCAAGTGAAGTACACACGTTCTTTTCTCATGGAACTCCCAGCCCTGCAGGGAAAGCAGTCAATAGCTGTGTAAACAGATACATATATACATATATAGCATCCATAAATGAGATGCTGGAGAGTGAGGGAACCTGGTAGAGAACACAGTGGTATGACTTTTTTTTGTCTTTTTCCTTTTTATTGGTACCAGGGATTGAACTCACGACTGCCTGCTTGCAAGGCAGGTGCTTATGCGGCTGAGCTAAATCCCCAGCTCCCACAGTGGTATGACTTTAAATGTGGTCCAGGAGGAGCTTTCTGAGAAGGCAGTACCCATCCTGAGACTGAAGACAAAATGGCATGAGCATAAGCGAGGACAGGGACTTCCTAAGATATGAATAGCATGGGCAAAGGCCCTGGGGCACACCAGACATTGGAGGTTAGCAGGAGGCCTGGGGAGATGGGTCAGGGTAGGGGGAGGGGGACAGATGGAGGAGGTGATTGCGTGGTGCAGAGAGCAGAGGCCATGAATTTGGTTATTGCCTCCTCCACTTTATGATGAAAATTCCAAACCTCCAGAACCTTACATAGCCTACTTCCACACTTGCCAAGTTTGCTCCCTGACATAGCTGCCCACATCCCGTCACCTCCCTGGCCATCCACCCCTCCAGTTTTTCAGGACTTGTGTCAGAGCAATTTGTAGGCATCAAGCCACATTGCTTCTGATAACCCACAGGCCACGAATCGGGGGCCAATATCTGCTTAGGAGCTTTTTTCTTTCAAGATACAGTGTGTTGGGGTGAATCCATGCATTTCAAATGTATGGTTGCTAAGTTTGCACAAATCTTCTCCTCCTGCAGATATTCCTTCCAGAAACTTTCGTCATGCACCAGGCACCAGGCTACCACTGAATCACACCCCCAGTCCTTTCTAAAGCCTTTACAGAGGATTTCACTAAGTTGCCCAGGCTGGGTTTGCACTTGAGATCCTCCTGCCTCAGCCTCCTGAGTGACTGGGATTACATCATGCTCTGATCCTCATTTTGGTTTAGGGGAGATGGAAATGGTAGGGTGTTAGTCACCATGCAAGGAATGAGTTACATTTAAAAGGCTAGAAGAGGGCTCTAAGGCCAGGCGCGATGGCACACACCTTTAATTCAGCATTCAAGAGACTGAGGCAGGAGGATCACCTCAAATTTGAGGCCAGCCTGGGCTATATAGGGAGACTCTGTATGAAAAAGTAAAAAAAAAAAAATTTTTTTCAAAATCAGGCAAAATAAATCTATGATGCTTCTGTTGGTTTCCTGGGGCTAATCTTCCAAGTTACCCAGATCTTAGTGACTTTAAACAACACAGATTTTTATCATAGGACAGTACAGCAGCTCCAAGTCCAAAATGAGCCTCACTGGGCTAGAATTAAGGTGTCCACAGGGTGAATCCCCCAAGGGTTCCTGGGAAGAATCTAGGCACACCGGTGCCGGCTCCTAGAGGTGGTGCCTACAGCCCTTGGCTTGTAGCCCCTGCCTCTGTCTTCAGAACTCTGAGTCTGACTCCTGCCTCTTCCTCATGAGGACCCCATGATAACATCGGGTCTCCCAGCTAATCTTCGATGATCTCCCAGATCAAGGTCATCTGATTAGCAATCTAATTCTAACCTTCAGGCTCAGCGCCCTTGGTGCCAAAACTCACAGGGGTTAGTGTAGGGAGCAGAGAACCTGTCAAAGGAGTTGATTTCATGGCAGGAGTTGGGTTAAGGGAGGGAGGTATGTAGGGCTTGGGCCTGGGCAGGGCGTGGGAGTGTTTCTTACTAGAACAGTGCAAGCCTAGTGCCTTAGGCAGTTTTCTGTTGCTGGGTCCAAACGCCTGATATACGTAATTTAAAGGAGGGAAGGTTCATCTTGGCTCATGGTTTGGAGGGTTCAGTCCATGGCTGGCTCCAAGGCAGAGACATCATGACAGAGCGGCCCTGCTCACCTCACTGTGGCCAGAAGCAGAGAAAACAGAAGTGGAGTCAAAAGCACAGATTAAACACAGAGACAGTGTTTTCATTAAACACACGACAGTGTCGTGCACAGAGACAGTGTTAACACCTTTGTTTGAGACAAGGCTTACGATGTTAATTTGTTGCTTTGTTTTGTTTTTGAGAGGGTCTCTCTCTGCAGTTGAGGTTGGCCTTGGGCTCACTTTGGAGCCCTGGCTGGTCTCGAAGTCATAATGATCCTCCTGCCTCAGCCTCCCAAGTGCTGGGATTACAGGCGTGCACCCCTACACCCGGCACAACCAAACTTTAAAATAGAGGTTTTAAAAGTGTCAGAATAATTTCCTGTAGTGACTACTATCTTGTTAAGATTAACTATTTAAATTGGGCCAGGTGGTGCCTGCCTGTAATCCCACCACTTGGGAAGCTGAGGCAAGAGTATTGCTTTGAATTTGAGGCTAGCCTGAACTGCATAGTGAGACTCTGTCTCCAAAAGACAAAAAAAAAAAAAAAAAAAAGCTTTGATATTTAAAAAATCTTTTTTTTTCTTTTTTTGGAGACAGGTTCTAACTATGCAGCCCAGGCTGACCCTGAATTTGCAGCAATCTTCCTGCCTCAGCCTCCTGAGTGCTGGGATCGTGGGTACACCACTGTGTCCAGAGAGATTTGCTTTATTCGTATTGGTATGTTTCATGCTTCTTTAGAAACCTGATACTTATTTGTCAGAGTTCTCGTGTTTTGTGGTGCTGATTACAAAATAGACAGGATTAGACTTGACAATGGACTCTAGATAAAATCAGCCCTGGAGCCACTCTCTCCACCTCTCTTACTGCTCAGGTTTAATTAAAAGGGAGTTGGACACCGATGCCAATCATCTGTCACCTTCCCTGCAACCTGGGACGTGTTGCAATCGCCCATCACCTGAAAAAGTTACCTTGGCAAGAAGGGATAAGGTTAAAGGTGGTTAATTGACAATGTACTTTTTTTGTCCTTTTGAGACAGGGTCTCACTATGTGGTTCAGGCTGGCCTTGGGCTCACTTTGTAGCCCAGGCTGGTCTCAGCTTTGCAATGATCCTCCTGCCTCAGCCTCCCCAACCACACCCAGCCTTGACAATATTTGAAAAGAAAGGAAGAAAAAGAGAGAGACAGAGAGAGACAGAGAGACAGAGAGAGACAGAGAGACAAAGAAAGAAGGAAGAAAGAAAGAAAGAAAGATAGAAAGAAGGAACACCTGAAGTCCCAGCACTCTGGAGGCTGAGGCAGGAGGATCATAGCAAATTGAGACCAGCCTGGGCTACAAAGTGAACTCAAGGCAGCCTGAACTGCACAGCGAGACCTTGTCTCAAAAGGACAAAAAATAAATAAAAACCCAATCAAACCTGTAAATATCAAAAAGCCACCTGTGTGTTGAGCTTGCCAAGATAAGTAGAACCACAGTGGTTATTAAAAAAAAAGGGGGGGGGTTGCCATATGTGGTGGTGCAAGCCTATCATGCCAGCACTCAGGAAGCTGAGGCAGGAGGATCCTAAATTCAAGCAATTTAGCAGCTTAGCCAGGTCCTGTTTCAAAATGGAAAGGAGGAGCCCTGGCTTGCCACGGTTCTTCGTGATTCTTTCGGGTGCTGAAGGGCTCTAGGCACACTGATAGGGGCCCCCTCCTGAGCCTGCTGTCTTTCCCTAGAGCCTCGGCTCCCTGGGACAGGACCGCTGTGAGGCCACTTAGCGACTCCCCCAGTGTGGCTGTCCTGTGGCCGCCTGGGCCTTTATGGTCCCTGCTCCTGGGTGCCCCAGGGCCTCCTCCGGCCCGGCTGCTCTTTGAGGCTCCCCGGGTGCCATAATCCTTCTTAGCAGCTAAAAATAGTCCAGCATGGAGGGAGAGGGCACAGGGCTTTGTGCAGACTCAGGGCCTGGATGGGATGAGGTCTGGGAGCACAGGTGTCAGCCCCCTGCACCCCTGAACTCCTAGGAGCCGTGGGTTCTCTGTTTGGGGGCTGTGCACAAAGACTGGTTTTGTTTTAGACTGCTCAGGTTAGGAAAAAGCAGATTTTTCTGGCCCCAGCCACCCACACACCCTCAGCCTGGTCTGCTGCCCGAGTGGCTTGGCAGGTTTCTGTGTCGAGGCCTAGGCACTTAGCGCCCCTCCAAGGTGGCTCTGGCAGGAGCAGGGCCCCTGAAGAGTGCTAATCACTAGACATGCAGCCAGCACTCAACACTATTATGCTGCTTCCCCTGGAAGACCCCAAGGTAGGCTTCATTGGGGGCCCTGCCTCTCAGAGCCACACACTTCCCCACATTCCAGCCCCAACCTGGGCCCTCCACCTGCTCAGTTCATTCACCCCAAAGGCTGCTTGCTAGGCCTCCGACTGGACCACGTCATTCTTGCCCCAGGACCTTTGCACATCCTAGACAGCTTAAAAAGTTCTTGCTGTTTAGTGTCACAGTGACACTGTAGTATAAATACCCATAACTTCCCAAGGGTTTGAGTGGAACAAATTCCCCCAGACAGCCACACACCCTGCTCTGTCTCAGCATTCTTGTTTTAGCTCAAACATTACTTCCTCAGAAAGTCCTCTCAAAATATCACCAGACAGAGTCCAAGGAACTCCCCAGAGTGGAGTGTAGCAGCAAACTCCGTCTCACACCGCTCATGAGGGAGTTCATAGATTTGCTGATTTCTGCCACCAAAAAAGAAGTCTCAGGATGGGTCATCAGTAAGGGACATAAAGAGATTTGATTTGGTTAGGCAAGAGTTTAAAACACAAGAAGTAGAGAGTGGGGGGGGCACTGAATACATTTATGGGGAACTTGGGGTTTAGGAGATGAAATGTACACTGTTTGTGAATTGATAGAAAGAAGGAATTCAGTTTTCTTTTCTGAGATAAAGTCTTGCTCCATAGCCCAGGCCAGCCTCCAACTCACAGCCATAGTCCTGCCTCAGCCTCCCCAGTGCTGGGATTACAGGCATGCACCACTACGCCCGACCTCTGTTTGCTTCAGGTTTAAGCATCATGGGTGAAACTTCTGAAACCATAAGCCCAAATGAGTCCTCATCATTAGCTGTTTATCTTAGAAACTGTCACAGCAATGAAGGGTGAGACATGGCCTAAACATGACAACTCTGTTGAGCGTAATTAACAGGCAAGAGGCGGCACTGAGTGTGAACTGTGTGACCTGAGACATTCTCACACATGGACACACTCACGAAAGCATCGAGTCAAACAAGATAATGGACGTATCACCTAACACTGACTTCCAACTGCAAACGGCTTCCCTCAAATGACTTATACATGTCTATATATCCTTCTTTATGGCTGTATAATACTTCTTTATGGCTGTGTAGAAATAGCACACCGTCTGTCCATTCGTTGGTGAACATAGATGAAATAAATCACGCACAAGCTTACATAGCACAGCTTCTCGTATATAAAAAAATAACCCGAAGAATAGATCATTTAGGGAGGGAGACACAGTTATACTCCTTTTACAAATTGAAGGAGGACCGAGAGATGGGGAAGGGGGAGGAGGATGAGGGGGAGGGATGTAAAAAGATTTCAGATGCATTATGCACGTGGTCCCCCCACCAGTGATGTAAATATGTACGAATATAATTTTTAAGCAATTAAAAGGTAATGAAGATATCTAACGCATCTCAAGATGTTTCCGTGTATTTGTAGCTCTTGCTTTTTTATTTCATTGGAAGTTAGAAGCAACTTTGCTGCCCAGCCGTTGGGGACTGGAAACCTCAGGCTTCCAAGCTACTAAGGGTCACAGGAGGAGGAGGAGGAGGCCGGGAGGCTGCGGGCGAAGCCTGCAGGACAGCAGGCTCGCGTGTTTGCCCTGCCCGGCGCCTTGTCTCCGCGCTGCTACCCACACAGGCCCTGCGCCTGCGCCTCTCCCGGGAACTGCCCTGCCCCCCCCCCCCCCCCCCGCAGAGGCCTCCTGACTGCGTCTTGGTGGCCTCTGTCCTGCTCTGTCCGCTCTGAACTTGTCTGGACTGTCTCCTCTCGCTCCAGCCTTGAAGCTATGCTTCTAACTGCAACCCAGACCCCAGGCCTTGCTACTTAAATTTGTGATCCTCCTGCCTCAGCCTCCGGAGAGCTGGAATTACTGGCGTGGGCCACCACGCCACCAATTTTTTTTTTTTTTTTTTTTTTTTTTTGTATCTGGGATGGAACTCATGACCTCGTGCTTTTCAGACAGCCGCTTAAGCCGCTGAGTAAATCCCCAGCCCTCATCATTTTTCAAAATACAGGTAATAAACCAATATGCCCCTGAGTCCTGGCTACTAGAGAAGCTGAGGCAGGAGGACCAGCTTGGGCAATATAAGACAATGTCTCAAAAAAAAAAAAAAAAAAAAAAAAAGAAAAGACATCCTTTTTAAATGCACGTAATCTTTTAGTCAGATGACTCTGGTCCTAGGAGACTGCGGGGGAGCTGAGATCCTGCAGTCTAGAGACCCCTGCAGACTCGCGGGACGCTGTGACTTCCAATCTCAAACATCCCTGAAGATCCACGTGCTAGTTGTGCTCCCTGACCTTTTCGGTCCCAGAATGGGTTTCTTGCACAATGATTTTTCCAGAAAGCAGGACGGGGTGTGTGCGTGCGTTTCCAGTTGCTTCAAAGGAGTGGCAGCTTGGATGCTGCGCATGCGCAGCACACAGTTTCGGGCTGCTAATGCAAAGCTCAGGTGGCGAAGCTCATGCATAGTGGAAGGCGCGGGAAATACAGAGGAGCAGCTGGGTGTTGGGACCCATTCTTGTGCCAAAGGTCTAGGCCCCCGGCTCATGCTCTTAGTAGATGGTGGAGCCTTGCAGGGGTGACTCTGAGCCTGGCACAGGGGTGTAATCTTAAGACCCTGGGAGGCTGAGGCAGGAGCATCCCAAGTTCAAGTCCAGCCTGGGGTAACTTAGCAAGATTTCATCTGCAGCAATGCAAACAGTTATACTCTGACCATCCAATCATACCTAGGAACCTCCCCAAACTGTAGGCCAAAATAAACCTTTTCATAAATTGCTGATTGAGGGTATTCGATATAGTAACAGAAAACTGACTAGTGCAATAATGATACAAACACGACTCTGGCACTTTCTATTTGTATTTTTCTGATAGGGGGTCTTGTTCTGTAGCTCAGGCTGGCCTCACATTCCCAGTAGTCCTCCTGCCTCAGCCTCTCGAGTGCTGGGATTACAGGTGTGGGCCATCACACCTTGCTGCAATTTTATTTCTATTTCATTGTCTTGCAGTGCTGCAGCTGGAAGCCAGGGCCTGGAGCATGAGAAACTATGGCCCTACTACTGGGCTGTCCTGTAGTCCTATCACTACTATTTTAGTATGCAACTCCTAGTAATAAAAAGGCTTTCTGCCAGTGGTCTGCCAGGTTACAGTTTTTAGAGTCATGGTAGCAGCCCTGGGAGCCTGTGGCCTCACTGTCAGGGGAAGGGGACAGACATTCCAGAAGGAGCGATTCCATGCGCTTCCCTGGCCTGGGGGCCATCTATGAGACTTCATGGACTTCAAGGGAAGAATTGTCCCCCTGTGGAGTGATTCCACTGGTGGCCTTGCAGGGGCGACAGGGAGAATAGGGTTACCAAGTATAAAAGGTAGGGAGCCAGGTGTGGTGGCCCACACCTGAAATTCCAGCATCCTTGGGAGGCTGAGGCAGGAGGATTGCCTTGAGACTCAGGCGGCCTGGGCTACACAGGAAGTAGGAAGGCAAATGGTGGGGGACACAGCGCAGACAGAAGCATGGGGACAGGCATGAGATGCAAGCATAATTCTTCAAGGGCTGGGGTGGTGCATTATGAGGGGACAGATCTCATTTTGGAGTGATCTGATTGGGTGAGAATAAAAAGGCACTTGTCTGGGAGTCAGAGGAGCCTAGGAAGCTGGGGTAACTGGGGTGGGGTCACAGGGCCCACAGTGGGAAGCCACATCGCCAGCCTTGTTAGCCTTTGTTTTTTTGAGACAGCATGTTACTAAGTTGCCCAAGCTGGGTTCCAGTTTGGGATCCTCCTGCCTCAGCCTCCACAGTATTACAGGCATGTGCCACTACGCTGGCTTGGAAAATTCTAAGAAAATGTGGGAGAGTCCTACAAACCTGCCATGGACACTGAGTTTCTAGGGGCCTTGGATGAAAGGAGACTCATTCCCACCTCCCCCAAGCCACCAGCTACATCTCCAGGAAGCCACAGCTGAGATGTGTGGAGTGCTGGGTCCTCCCTGCAACTGGGGATACTGAGGCACAGATCGGTCTGAGGTTTTAAACCACTAGTTGGGATTGGTCCAGAACCTGTACCCCACTCCCAGCTTCCTATTCTGGCTACGTCTAGATGACTCCCAAAGACCCGTGTGGTCACAGGTGGCCGGATCAAGAGTGTGTGATTGATCCATGGCACAGTGCTAGGGTTGAAGGCGGGTGATTACCACATCAGTCCACTGATTGGCCCTGCACCCCCTAATCCCAGAGGCTGGGGTACAGCATAAGGGACAGGAAGAGGCCTGTCCTGTCTCTTTCTTCCTTGCCGTGCTGCCTTGTGCCCTCCATGAGCTGTTTCTTCTCTGCAGGGCCACCTGCCATGGAGCCAGCCGATTCCAGACTGGAACCTCCACACACTGTGAGCCAAATAAACCTTTCCTCCTTGGACTTGTTGGTGATGGGTATTTTGACTCAGCAGTGAGAGAAGTAACTAAGACATCACCCAAGTCCAATCCCTCAGGCTAGAGATGGAAGTACCCAGACTATCATTTCAGAAACATTTATTCAGTATTTACTGTGTTCCAGGTGCTGGGCCACACCCTGGGTTTCATCAGGGAGCCAAGTAAGTAAAAATTCCCACTTTCCAGCACTCAGAAGGCTGAGGAAGGAGGATTGCTGCGAGTTCAAGGCCAGCCTGGGCTATATAGTGAGTCGATGGCCAGCTTGGAACACATAGTAAAAAGCTGTCTCAAACAAACAAACAAATAAACAAACACAAAAATAATAAAAAACAAATCCCATGATGACATGGGGCCAGGAAAGGCCAGGGGAAAGAAAGACACAGATAAACCGAACTCCTGCCAGTCCATTACCTTGGGCCACCCCTCCATCCTGGCTTCTTGCCTCCTGCCTCAAAGTTTGTCCCTGAGCTAATGCCTGTCCAAGGCCAGCAGGAAGGGGCTGGCACTGCCCTGGCCCCCTCTGCTGTCCCAGGAGCCACAAAGACTTGGCCTTGCCACTCTCCTGGCTCCTTGAAGCCCCAGTAGTGGCCTCAGGGCCTTTGTACCTGTCATTCCCTCTGCCTGGAATGTTCTTCCCCTGCCCAGTGAATTCCTACTCTGTCATCCAGACAACCTTCACCTCCTTCAGGAAGCCTTCCCTGACCTTCCCCGGGCCAAGCCAAGGTCCCTTTCTGAAAGGCATGGCTCTGTGATATCCTGACAGCTCTCATTTACCATGTGCTCATCCCCCAGGGCACAGTGCCAGTTCTCTGCTTCGAATGAGAGGGCAATGATTTCATGCCCATTTTACAGGCAGAGGAACTGAAGCACGAGGAGGTGAAGTCACTGGCCCCAGGGCTTCTAAGCTCCAACTGGTAGGACTGGGTTGGAAGTGGTTCCAGCCCAGACAACCCAAAAAGCAGCCTGCAGGGTGCAGATAAGAGGGGAGCAGACCTCCTGGTGCTCACCCCACTGTGTTGTCCTGCAAGTGTGAGGTGGGACTTTGGCTCCCTCCTGCTACCACCCAAGGTCAGCCAGGGGTGACTCAGTCCGTGCCAGGCATTGGCCAAATGGGTACATCACCCCATTTGCACAGCCATAGTTGGGGGGGGGCACAGGCAGGTGCTTTGCTGCCTTCCCTGGAAGTGGGGAGAATGGAGGTATGGGGGCCGGAACTCCTCTCAGGCCCCTAAGAGCATGGAAACCCCAGAGATTTGCTAATCCCTTTCCATGCCAAAGTGTCCTTTGATCCACTCACCCCTTTTTCTTTTCCTTATTGATATATTTTTGGTACTGGAGATTGAACCTGGGGTCTTTGCATTGAGCTACATCTTGAGCTCTTTTTGAAAGTTTTTTTTATTTTATTTATTTTGAGACAGGATCTTGTGAAAGTACTAAGTTGCCCAGGCTGACCTTGAACTTTCGATCCTCCTGCCTCAGCCTTCCATAGTGCTACACTTACAGGTGCGCACCGTCATGCCCAACTTTGTTCACTCTGGAAATGGGCTCGGTCCAGGATTCCTATCTTGGGGTACCACCTAATAGGTCCATTGTTGAGCTAAAGGAGGTCACCTGGCCTCTGTGCTCAGACTGGGATCTTGGGGTGACCTCCTCCCACCTCTGGCAGCTCATCTGACAGATTTTGCAAGTCAGGTTGGAGTACAGCTGTCTCCTCCCACCTCATCGTGTGTGGAGTGTGTGTGTGCCTCTAAGTCTCCCCACCCCAGCAGTAAAAGCCATGCCCGCAAACTTGCATCTGCCCGGCTCAGGAATCTCCACTGCCTTTCCAGCAGGCAGGCATCCCAAGGCTGCTCCTCCACTAAAGGGAGTTTCTAACTGGCTCACTGCCTAACATGTCTACCAGTCGGTCCCACGCCAGGTCGCTTAACGCAGGTTCTTAGAACGCAGTCCGATCCTGTCAGCCCCTCGCTCCAAGCCTCAGCCCTGATGGAATCCTGGGGTCCCACCCGCCGTCTGAGGCTTGGTCATGTCTCTCTGCCTCTGCCTGCACTTGGATCCCCGCCCCCTCTTTTCTCTGCCCTGCCACGACCTTTCCCCCTCCCCTGGCAGTGCCCCCAGGCCGGCCTCTGCACCTGGCCTGAAACTCCTCCCCTCTTCCCTAGGGGCCTCCGCCTGCCCTCCCATGTCCTGCTGTGGTCTTCATCTAGCACGTGCTGGGAGGATGCCCTCTTTTCCACGAAGCTCTCAGAAGCCATCTACACAGCCAGGCTGTGGGGTGTGCCTGTGTACCCCGACCTGGCACGTCGGTGGCCCTGATTTTTGGGTGACAAGGCGACATCCCCGCTCCTGCCTCCGGATCCCGTGCCCCAGCGTCCCGGGTCCTTGGGCACCACACCCTGGGGTGGGAGGAGGTCGGATCCAGACCATTCGGTGCGCCCCGAGAGGCAGATGCGGGGTGACGGGGGCCGGAGCGGCTGCTCCCGGGTTACCCACGGCGTGGAGGCGGGGCCGGAGCCTTCCGCGGGGCGATGGCTTACCTGGGGGCGCAGGCGGCCGGGCGCTCGAGGCCGCGGCGGGACTTGGCGAGACCTTAATGCGCGCCGCGGGTGCGAGGTAGCGATTTAAATCTGTCCCCAAGGCAGCCTCCTGAAGAGGGTACTAGCGGCCCGGGGGCGGACCCACGGGGGCGGGGCCTGGAAACCCGGGCGAGGTCTACGGCCCCGCCCCCAGTGCCGCATCCAATCGCGCCCTCGAGCCTCCAGGCCCCGCCCATAGGTCTACTTAAGTCCCGCCCACACGGCCATTCACCTAGGCGCTCTCTAGGCCCCGCCCTCAAACGCATCTCTAGCCACGCCCTCCGCCCGCCCCTCGGCCGCGCCCCCTTCAGGCTCCGCCCCCGGCCCCACCTCCAGCCCGCGCTGGCCCCGCCCGGCCCCGCCGGCGCCCGCGGGCTCTAACCACCCCTCCTGCCTGCACTTTGGCTCCCCGCCCAAGGCGTCTGCTGCGCGCTTCCCGTGGGTCCCCGGGGCCACCTCCCGGATGGCCCGCGCACTGCTCACACCTCGGGGCGCCGTGCTGGGTGTTGCAAAGAAGGCCTGAACCCCCTCCTGGCCTCGGCGGCAGCCCTCAAAACTCCAAATCTGGGTGCCTTGTTGAGCTCGGTCAGGGAGGCAGGGGCAGCTGCAGGCACGAAGGGGCGAGGCTTGCAGCGGAGGCTGCGCGGTGGTGGTGGCGGCGGACAAGGCCTGGGCGGCAGAGGGCAGGGGAAGACGGCCAGGGGAGACAGGCAGGTGGCCTAGCAGGATAGAGGTCCGGCAGCCGCCTGCAGAGGGAATGGGTCTCAGGGACTCCTGCGGGAAACTGGGCTTCCTGCCCGCGAGCAAGAGTGGGGGCAACCGGGTCCACGTGGGGGCGCACGCTTGACAGTCCAGCACTCGGTAGGCGGATTGCAGTAAGTTCAAACCAGCCTGGGCTCCATAGCGAGACCCTGGCTCAAAAAAACGAACAAAACAAAGAAAAACAGCCTCTCCAAAAGAAACAAAACTCGGAGCAAACAAATATGAAAAACAAACATTAAAAAGAAAGAATGAAAGAAAAACTGCAGCTTCAGGATACAATCAAAATACCCAATACCTTTTTTATGTTCCGGGAAGTTCGTTTAAAAATAAATGAATTTTTAAAAAAGCACCACAGGGGTAAAGATACAACAAAATTGTTCATTGGGCCCACGTTCTCACCTGTAAATTGAATTTGTGCTTTTCCTCAGATGAGGCAGATTCATGAATCCCACAGACCTTCGTCCTAACTGCGGATCTCTGACCCTCCCTCCCACATGTGCCAGCACTGTCTCTCTAACAGAGCCCAGCACTCTGGGAACCCAACAGACACTAGGAATACATAGCTCCCATTGCCCATCTTAAAGACACCCCAAGACCCCATAAATGGTCCCAGCCACAGACCATAGTGGGCTTCCCTTTTTTGTTCTTTTATTTTGAGGCAAACTCTCATGGAGTCACTGTTGTCCAGGCTAGGCTTGAACTTGGGATCCGCCTGCATCAGCCTCCAGACCTGGCTGCAGGTTGGCGTAGCTTTCAAAGCCACAAAGTTCACGATGATTTGCGATAGCAGTGACTTCAGACTCCAGCCTGAAGAGCCGTTCTCTGGGGGACCTGGTTTCTAAACCGGCACCTTGAGGCGCCGCCGTCATCCACGCCTGGGGCCCTGCTGCCTCTGCTGTCTTGGGACTCACTCCTGACCCCAGGGAGCAGGGCCTGAAGTCCAGGGAATCCACGTGGCTATCCTGGGCCCTCTGCTTGCTGGCTCCTGGTGGCAGACTTCCCCCACCCCCAGCCCACGCACTATTCCACATTCCTGCCCAGAGTGAGAGAACCTCATGCAGAACCATGCTGCCTGATTCTGTGTCCACACAGCCTCTCTGAGCCCAGCGTGCTCGTCTGCCTCTGTGTATTTGTGTCTGTGTGTGTGTGTATGTGTGTCTCTGTGTATATGTCTGTCTTTCTGTCTCTGTGTATGTGTGTCTATGTGTATGTGTCTGTCTCTGTATGTGTCCATCTGTCCATCACTGTGTCTGTGTGTCTTTCTGTTTCCGTGTATGTGTGTGCATATGTGTGTGTGTCTGTCTCTGTGTATATGTGTCTGTCTGTCTATCTCTCTGTATGTGTGTGTGAGTCTGTCCATCCCTGTGTGTGTGTGTCTGCCTGGTCTGTCTGGGGACCTCTGACCGTGGATACCTTCAGCCCAGACTTCCCCTAGCTGGGCCAGGGCCAGACCCTACCTTGTCCCCCGAGCATCTTGCTGTTCCCTTCCAGCTTCTGCCCACCCCAACGTCCTTCTAGCCTGTGTGTCCATGTCCTCCTCCACTCCTGTCCAGTGTGGCCCGAGGCCTCCTCCCTCTCCTGCCTGGCTGCAGCTTGGCTCCCTCCCTCCCTGGTGCTGGCAGCCAGCGTGCGCAGGGCGGGGCGACCGTTTACACCGCACCTGCCTGGCCCACATCCTGGGCCGAAGCACTGGGCCACTGCTCCCTGAGGCTGCTCACGGTGGTTGCTCAAGTGAGGGTGGAGTCTTTTCCTGGAGCAGTGGATGGATTTAAATTCCCCGTGGTAGCCAAGTGTGGTGGCACACACCCAGAGCCCCAGTCATTTCAGAGGCTGAGGCAGGAGGATTGTTTGTCTGAGGCCAGCAAGCTGAGACCAGCCTGGACAACAGAGTGAGGCCGCATCTCAAAAATAAAGAACTAAAATCTAAAACTAGGAGATGGCAATCTTGTTTTCAGTTGAATGTTTCTCCTTCGGAAGAGTCAATATCTAAAATTCAAAAGCTGTAAGCCTGGTGTGGTGATGTGCATCTGTCATTCCAGCACTGGGAGGCTGAGGCAGAAGGATTGAAAGTTCAAGGCCAGCCTGATCAATTTAGCAATTTAGCAAACCCTGTCTCAAAAAAAAATTTTTTTTTAAAAAGGACTGGGGATGTAGCTCAGTGTGAAGGCTTTGAGTTCAACACCCAGTGTACATACACACACAAAATGCCAAAAGGTTTACCTTTCTTTTATTTTTAAGCACTTTCTCTTTGTACATTTTCCAGCATCTCCTTTATTTGTTATTACTGAAGTACAATATATGCAAAAATAGTCATAAATCTTTAAACTTTTTAAAAAATGTTTTTGAGACAGGGTCTCGCTGTGCAGTTCAGGCTGGGCCTTGAGCTCACTTTGTAGCCCAGGCTGGTCTGGAACTCATAGTGATCCTCCTGTCTCAGCCTCCCGAGTGCTGGGAAGATAGGCTCATGCTACCACACCTGGCTAACTTTTAACATTTTAAGTCTACGGTTCACTTTGGTGGTGTAAAGAGCACACAAGTGAAAGGGGCCCTGCTTAGTCGTAGGACACATGCTTAGCATGCACCAGGGCCTGGGATTGACCCCTTCTCCCTATGTACAAAGAGAAGCAGAAAGAAAAAGAAAAGTCCTTCATGCTGCACCACCACAATCACTAGCTACTTCTAGGACTCTTTCACCTCACGGAACACTTACTCCCTTCCTCCACCCTAGCCCCTGGCACCTACATTCTACCATTCTCTGTCTCTGGATTCTTTTTCTAGGGACACATCTGTCCCTAGCGTCTCTGTGGATCTGTCTCGAAGGACTTCCTATCCCTGGGTAATTTCACTGAGCATAAAGTCCTCAGGGTTCATCCCTGCTACAATAGATGTTGAAGCTTCATTCCTTTTCCTGTGTGACTAATATTCCTTTACATAGGGGACTATACTGCACATCTATTCATCCATGCATGATCCTTTGGTTGTTTCTGCCTTTGAATCATGCTAGTATAAACAGAGTGTACAGGTGTCCCTTTGAGTCCCTGCTTTCAATTATTTTAGATAGTTACTTAGGGGTAGAATTGCTGATTCAGCAATTCTATCTTTTTTTTTTTTTTTTTTTTTTTCTTTTTGACAAACATAAACCTTGCATTTTTTCCATTTGCTGTGGCAGTGCAGGGGGTTGCATCCAGGGTCTTCACACTGAGCTACATGGCCAGGTGTTTCTCTATTGAGAACAAGGCCATTCTGGTTTTGCTTTTTAATTGTTTTTGTTTGAAGGAGAATAAAACCCAACAAAATGAAACAGTAAATCCAATCAAAATAAGGTGGTGAAAGTGGTACAGAACTTGAAGCAGGATAACAGGAAATCTGCCTCAGTGGCTACCAACTCAGCCTGTCCTCCAAACCACCTGGTTGCATACAGGAGTTGGGGATAGAGTAGCTCTTGGTGCTTAGCTCAGGCACCGACCAGATTGCAGGAGGCCCCAGTGGTTTGCATGGCTCACAGGAAGGGCAAACTGGCTTCTTGGTGTGCTCCTCTCAGACCCAGCGTGGCTCTTTCTGTTTTTGTTTTGAGACAAGGTCTCACTATGTAGTTCAGGTTGGCTTTGAACTCACAGTGAGCCTCCAGTCTGGCCTACAAGACCCTGTCTCAGAACACACGCCCTCCCAACAACAACAACAACAACAACAATAACAATAACCTGGCACTGAACACTGGAGAACATTGCTCCCAAGACAGCAAAACCAGTGCAGAGGAAAGAAGGCAGGCGCCTAAGCATGAGCAGAGGCAGAACTAGACCCTAAGTACAGGTTTGGTGCATGTGTGGACACATCCAGACAACATCTCTAGGCCTAGCAAGCAAGGTAGGGAGAAGGAATTGCTCCTGAGACCTTGGCACAAATGGCCCGCTGTCACATATGTCGGAGTATGGGGCAGACAGCTTGCATGCCAAGTTTAGGGATAAATAAAAGGAATCAAAGAAAAAAGTGTGCTTGGGGAATTTTAAAAATTAGGTTTGCTCACATTCACTGGAAGAAAGAGGGTTTTTTTTTGAGTACTAGGAATCAAACTCATGACCTTATGCTTTCCAGGCAGGCACTCATGTTGCTGAGCTATTTCCCCAGCCCAAGGGAGCCTAATAAATGGTTCTGGAAAAACTGGCTCTACATATGCCCGAGATTCAAACGGGACCCATCTCTGTCACCATGCACTAAGCTAAAATTGGAATGGATCAAGATCATAATGTTAGAACAGAGACATTAAATCTGTTGGAAGACACAGTAGGTAAAACTCTTGAAACACAGATGTAGGCAAAGACTTAAGGAACAAA